CTGTTTCTGGTCGGACGGGGAGCCACCCATGCTCACCGTCCGCAGGCCCGCGCTTACGGTGGCCGGAGATCGTCCCGCGACCTATATTGTAACTACAATCTGACAAATACTTCTTTCTTTATTTCTTTCTTTTATATGTTGGTTTGGGTTCCTGACTTCCATCATTGCATTGTCACTTAAACTATGCAAAACGTTAGGTATAACGAGTCTTTCACACCAATATTATAAAACTAGTATTAAGGTCAATATTATAAAACTAGTATTAAGGTCTACATCACTATGTAATATGATGGAAAAATAAATAAAATGTATTATTAAATTTATTATCAACTAGCTGTGCCCGCGACTTCGTTCGCGTGGAATAGTGACTATGAGCAGCGTTTTTTTTAAATATATACTTATTTTTATTTTGGATCATTATGTCGGTACAAAATTTCAACCAAATCCGTCAAATAGTTGCCGAGATTAATGGTGCCTATGTATGTATAAGCATAGAATAGTGTTCGACGTGATTCTTTAATTTGACATAACTTTTTAACAAAAAAAAAAAAACTTATTTTCACAGGTAGGTATCTCTCATTGAATTAGACAGAGACAAAGAGAATGGTAGTTCTTCTAACCCACCTCTTTCGTTCCATCAAGCTACATTAATGGATCGTCGTCATAATTGTCATGCATGCTCATCGATTGACGTAGGTACGTAGGTAATCCTAATTTGTGTTTAACATACATACATACATAACCTCACACCTGTCTCAAATGGGGGTAGGCAGAGACTATTGAACGCCAATTGCTACGATTCTTACATACCTCTTTCGCTTCATCAACAGTCATCAACACCAAACAGTCTTTTCAGAAAAAAAAAACAGGTTTTGATGGAAATAAAATATATTTTTGTTATTTTTCATTGCATTAAAAAGACGAAACAACTTCTTTTTAACTGAGGAAACTACCTACCAAATTGTGAAGCAAAAATCTATATAGCAATAACTTAGCAAATATGTTTTTGAACCCTGAATCAACCTAGATAAAATACTTAATTGCGTAACACAACAACATTTGTAGATACCTACCTCAAACCTCAACGTACTTACCATTATACGGAATCTAGTTTCGCTTTTAGTCCACTGTCCTTGAGGTTTTTATCTGCCATCAATTCATCACGAAAGACATGTCCGTATGTTCGGACAGCCCGGGTACCCGGGCTCACGACAATAGGTGACGGGACCCGCGGACGAAACCCATCGTCAGCAAACGTGCTCAAATTGTCGCACTCCCGGTTTTAAATTATCATTCGATACTATTCGCTATTCTGTCAGAGATTTGTTTGAGATTAACTGTGCGCTCTAAATTGCTTACTTTTGTGTTAAATATTGTTTGTCAGTGTAAGCGAATTATGTATGTGATTATTTCAATAAAGATATTGTAAATTTAAACATACTACAGAATTACGTATTGCGGTTGTTCTCTGAAAAATATAATTATGACTAAACTTGCTTCTGCCAGCGATTTCACCCGCGTTCCTGTGGCATAAAAAGTGGTCTATGTTATTCCAGAACGGAATCTACTCGTTTCAAATTTTGTCTCGATCCCTTCAGCCGTGAAAGAGTAACAAACACACACACATACTATACATCCTCAACTATCGTATTTATAAGTAGGATCAGATTTTATATGGTTTAACGAGTTGATTTTTTCTGGAAACCGAAAAAGGGAATCAAAAATTGAGATCATAATGATCACTGTAATAGAGCTGGCAATCGATTTTTAATATTCCAATGTCTTACACACTCATTCATGTGCCACTTCAGAAACTCATTAACCAACTGCTTAACAGAATCAACTTAAAGCAAACGGGTAGATCACAACTTTAATAAAGACAAGATATTTTGTCCCAATAGTAGAGGCGCTCCGAAAATGCATAATCATTGCTAAAAAAAGTCAAAACGTCGCTTCATACTCACATTAAGCAACTTCTTTCTCTCCAAAAACCTAATTAGGTCAAACATTTTAAGCAGATTGGAGACGTATCGAAGAATTTATTGTAGGTAATTAGTTCGGTCCGAATATGGGTACATTTACGGGAGCGAGTTGGCATCGAAGCACCGCTGGCGTGTACCCAACCCTTGGAGAGTGGTCACAGCGTTTACCAGGCATTTGGCAGTCTTTCACTGCATAGTAATGTGCGTTCAACTCATATAGCATCATTATTGGTTTTGAATAATTTTACCACATTTGTTATTTTTAGTTTTAGGGAGATATTGAGTTGGAATATGAAGGGTTTTAAAATATTTAAGTTATTGTTTCTGTCTGAGAAACGGAAATGTTTTAAGATTGAATGATGAGGAATTTGTATTGATGTAAATGTAATAAAGTTGATGTTCGTTTGTTTGTCTAGCCAGCTAAACTACAGTCTGATTTTCAATAGAATAATGGAGAAGACGTTTCGACGAATTCGATAATGGTGAAAGTCAAAATTTTATTTCAATTAGACCAGTAACGCCCGAATTCTAAAACGCTACTAAATTATGAGTCGCGCTTAAGTATACTTCTGTAACTAAATGACGGAGATGGCACGATATTTAACCTTTTGAATGCACTTCACTTTGAGACACAATAGAAAAAAAAAACATACAGCCGTATTGATAACCTCCTCCTTTTTGGGAAGTCGGTTAAAAAACCTAATAATTAATCATTCTAATGGGATTCAGTAATAATAATCAATCCAAATCATTGTTTCCAACTATTTTCTAATTTTGTATACTGAAAAAGGTAACATAGCGTTTAAAAATGTTATTTAAGACCCTAATGTTACCTATGTTCACAATTATTTAAATGAATTTGAATTTGAATACATTGTGTCTCGCGTGAATCCACGTCTTAAACACACGAAAGGTTAAGTCTAACATAAAATTCAGTAGCGATTCAGTATTTGGGAGTAAGGCACTTTTAAATTTAAAAAAATATGGTTTGTCAGGATAAGACAACGTCTGTAGTTCTTCCATAACAGAGCCGAAAGTGTCTTAAATAAAAATACAATTTAATAAAAATCCTTTATTAATAAATCAAATAAATACTTAGGTACTTAATTACAATAAAATATAATATAATCTGTATCAATGGAATGTAATGTAACTATAAATATAGCTATTATATAATTATTATTGTGAACTCATGATATGTATTTGTTTAATACCATTTATATACTATTATTGCTTTTCATTTATTTATAAATAAGTATTTTATTTAATGGGGCCTACCGTATATTTGCTCACCAAATGTGAACCTTTATGTTCTTCGTCCAATAGCGAATTAGCTAGTGTTACTTCATTGAACGTTCAATATTTGACAGCTGCTGTGATTTCACAAAAATACTCCTTCCTATATCTCCCCATTGAAGTATATTTTTAAACATAACACCTACTTTTAGCCAGTTATGCTATAAATAAGTCCTGTTTTACAAAGGGCGTAACTATTGCTTATACATCGGTCACATTTCCAACTTTATATTATTAAAAAAACACAATAATACTTGTACAACCCGGGATTCAACCCCGAGATTGAGAGAAAAAATAAAAACATTCAAATAATGAAATTACAATATAATGGCTCATTGACGCAATTCTTACAAAATTAAAATTAAATTAATAACTTCACCGTTCCTTGTTAGCTTTAAATGAATTAATATTTTAATGTCAAAATTTTGGTTGTAAATTATATCAAATAGATCAAAATCATGTCTTTTATAGGATAGTTGCCAGGGTATGAACATTAAAAATCTAATTAGTCCGCCAGTTAGATAATTAAAAAATATAACACACGTATTTATTATCTCGTATGAAGTTACAATACTTAGAAGTAATGTACCTAATATAATGTAACAATAAATATAAGTTATGTAACTTTAAATAAAATGAAGATAAAATTGCGTTATGTTAAGGTCGTTACACCACAAAGTGCTACAAAATGTAGCACGCTGTGACATCACGCGATATTTCAAATGTATATATCGTCGATAGTATATAATTTTAGGAGAAAAAATAAAATACGTGTCTAATGTTTTAAATTAATCTACCAGACGGACATTTACAAAACTACCCTATTTCGCAAAAAAAACCAGATACACATATGAAAGGTAATACCTTTTTTCCTACGTAACGTAAGACAAGCCTATAGTTAAATTATTAGGCACAATTCCGGAATCCATATCCTAACCTAGGAATCGAACCCAGCCTTCAGTTGGCTATTTGTACCTACTTGTGATCTCTCAATCAACAAGTTGGTTTAATTCAAAGCCCAAAGTGATAACTTATATGAAATAAAAAAAAAACAATTTTCCAATTTACGCAACAGTTTTTTCAATTGTAATAAAAATAAATAACTCCCTGAGAATATTCGAAATAAAAAGATTCCCGCCATATTTATCATAACCTGATTGTAAAATTAACTATTTAATTGTATATTTTACTAATTAATTGCCATAGATTAACTAATATTTAGAATTTCATTTTAGGTACATTTTTATATATCACAATTTCGTATTTATAACATTGCCAATTAAATAATGACTAATGTCTTTGGCACTGCACTAATTAAAAAGTAAAATCTCCTTACAAATGCATAGCCATATTCGAATAAATATTAATTAAATAAAATCTTACTAGATGGCGCTAGTTTCGCTTGGCCCAAAAAGCCAAAAGCTTTATAATTACTTCGTTGGTCTCAATGGACATTTTCTTACCACAAAATAGCCTTGAATGAATATATTAATAAATAAAGACGGTTGTTATAATAAATATCACTAATGTTCGCAAAATGAATCTCAAAATAGATGTCGTCGCAAACAATATTGGACCTTAAATAGACGAGTTTGAGTTCAAAGTGAAGAAACAGAAAAGACTTGAGCAACATAGAAAAATAGTTTGAAACGAACGGACATTTTACGGTATATAAAGATAATAACAATAATAAAGAAAAGCAATGGATACTTTGTGTGTTGGTTATACGTTGACAGATTTCTTAGGCGGAGGCACGCGCGGTGAATGTGAGTACATCTTCTTAAATAATTCCGGTATATTGTTGTCTGGGAACAAGTTTGTTAGCATTGCTGTAACAAAAAAACATTAATTATAAACACATCATCTAATTGGATACTATCTTTAATCAAAAATTCATTATTTCGACTGTATAATACAATAAAATATTAAAAATAATCACACTTTCATTAATTGATTTTATAACCAACTTAATTTTAGTATTTTTCCAGCTAATTTTTAAGAAATAAGTAGTTTGACGCAAAACTAGACGTGACGTCACAATAAACAATCGTACAAAGGTATTCGTAACGAGTACGCGTTCAGCGCTCTAATTAGCCGGCCCCATTGAAGCAACCAATCAGAGCGCTGAACGCGTACTCGTTACGAATACCTTTAACGTAAAACAAAGTCGTACTAAGGCCACCGGTATATCGTTTTTGACAGTTCGAAAAAACTATTGAACTTGACTAGTTGGCAAGTACCCAATTCGTTGAATTATTTGAACATCATCGGTAAAGTTACGAGTGTGTCGGAATCAATCGGAAGTTGATAATTCGCAAATATACTTAAGTTCGAATTCAGGGTCGACCTAAAGCCAAATCTCTAACATAGCAGAGAGCTTAGAACGAATTTGTTTTACTTTAAAGACATCGAAACGAGACCGTGTTCGGCGCTGTGATTGGCCGGCTCCAATGAACCAACCAATCAGAATGCCGAACGCGGTTTCGTTTCGATTACTTTCCTCATGGCCTCATGGGACTTTAAACTGTCAAACACCAAGCGGTCACCGGTGACCGCGACCTATTGTTCTTTAATTGTGTCTATAAAACCGGTACTCGAAGAGTTAACTGACTCATAACCAACCAATGATATAAATTATTGTGGTGAATTGGAATTAAAAACAAATGTAATATTAATATTTCAAGTGGAAATTTTAAATGAACTTACTTTCGAGCAGCACAAATATCAATCTCCTATTGATCTCCTGGTTTTGGAACAGATCGAATACAGTCAGCAATCCTCTTCTAGCCGTGTCCGAGCCTACTATATGTCGCAAGTCGTCTGAAAATTAAACATACGCTTATTACTTTAAGGTTTAGAATAGATATGGCAACGTCAAGGTGTCTAGGTAATGAAGAACTAACTAATGAAAGTTTTAAAACTTCTAATATTTTCCACATGTCTTTTCCTTTTTTGAACTAAATGGGACTCATAACATAAATAGTGAAAAGTGGGTGTTACATTGTACAGTGGTATAATGTGCACCTCTGCCTACCCCTTCGGGGATAAAAGGCGTGATATTATGTCTTTTCCTTTTTTGAAGTGTTTCTTATGCGTCATACCAAGCGACCCATCCCAATGTTTGTTTTATTTCTATCAAAGAATTACCCAATGGTTTTACCAATTAACACAATGACATCTTGAAAAGCAACCAATCAACATGCTTCATAAATAGCAATTAATTGTTACCTGAGCAAGCAGAAAGCAAGGCGACTTTAGCGGCGACTCGCGTCCTGGCTTTTGTCGCAGCGTCTCTGTTGCCGATACTCGAACTATTTCGACTTGTCAACCACTGCCTAGAATAGATATTATCACGATTTATTAAAATTACAATTATATAGTTTAAAGTAGTGAAGCTCAGCAAACAATGCAGTTGCAACAATTAGGATGCTGACAGGGTATGAAAATTAAAAATCTAATTAGTCCGTAAGTTAGGTAATGAAAAAATGTTCGACACGTATTTTTTTATTTTGTCGTATAATAAAACAATACTTAGAAAAAACGAATCAAAGTTTAGAAGTGGAGGCTAAAAAGTCATTTCTACGTATAAAATGTATATAGAAGTGACGTGATGCGACATTACAAATCAATAGGTAGATATATCGTCGAAAGTATTCATGTCTGTAGTTTCTGTAGACAATAAAAAATACGTGTCTAATGATTTAAAATAATCTATGTACCAGACGGATATTAAAATAAAAATTAGGCATCTACCCTAAGTCAGATAATACTTACTTGAATGTTTTTAAATATTGAACAACGTTCCGTGGTGACGTTAAGGACGACACGAACTCTAGCACCTTTCTGTGGAAATAATTATTTATTAAACACTGCTAATAGCAAAATTCTCAGAGTAAATAAAAATATTTTAGACTCTAGACCTTATTAGTTCTTCTTTATAAGACTATTTCAAAATAGCAATTATTCGTGGCATACGCCCGAATACTAGGCTACTCAATTTAAATAGTACTTAAATATCGTGCCATCTCTATCATCTAACCAAGAATTTGTAGAGACAGAACTATACTTAAGCACGAATTAAAATTGAGTATCCTTTCAGTATTCGGGCGATAGAGACATTATTTAAATACGTACTTATTAACTCTATCTGCAATCAATGTCCTGATGGGAGCAAGCAGACGTCTTCTCAACCATAAACCTCTTATACCTAATACTTCTTCGAACAGTTTCAGAGCCACACTCTCGTCGTTTTCCTGTGAATAAAAATCGATATAAATAAACAAGTTTGTACTTCACAACATAGTTAATATTAAACAGATCAATTAATAGTCCACTGCTGAACTATCTTACTTAATCTTATATCTTATACTATTATATAAAACGGAAGAGTAGTTTGTTTTTTTGTTTGTTTGTTTGAACGCGCTAATATCCGTAACTACATGTAGGAATCGATTTTTGTCATTAGTTGTATGAAGTTTCATCAAAAATCACCACAAATTTTTCATTGAAATAGGTTCTTGAAATTGGTAGTTGTAGTTCCCCAACTATAACTAAAACACGTTTGTAATACCCCCATTACAAACGTGTAAACTGTCACGTCAAAGGAATGTGAGAATGTCACACAACTCGCATAAGTGTGAGCGAGAGATTGGTTAAAAAAGACTTATGATAGTTCGCACGTTAGTAATGGCCCGACTATAGTTGGCTTTTACTATTAATTTTTTTTTCTTATGTTCTTGTGGGAGAGCCATGCTTCGGCACAAATGGGCCGGCTGGACTGGAGTGATACCACGGCCTCACATAAAACCGACGTTAAACAACCACTTGCGTTCTATTTTGTCGTGTGAGTGAGGTTATCGGAGGCCTAATTATCCCCCTCCTCTCTCCTCAATCCCTGAATCCTCAAAAGGCCGGTAACGCACTTGTAACGCCGGTATCGGGCGACGCCGGTATTGGGCAGCGCCGATTGCTTACCATCGGGTAATCCGACGCTCGTTTACCGGCTTATCCCATAAAAAAAAACTAAAACGTTTACACGCTTGTTTAGCTATATTCGCTTTATAAAAGTTAAATAAATAAACCCGTACCTCTTGTCCATCAGATGAATTTCCACTTTTAAAACCATCGTAATAGTTTTCTTCACCCTTCCCTTGGAACACTTTAGAAATACCTAAAAACAAACCAGGATATTATTCATTCAGAAACATTTTTTTTTAAACCAAGTCAGAATCATATATTTCAATTATACCAGGAAACCAGAAACATTTAAACGTCAACAAAAAGTTTTAAAGTGCCGCTATTTGCTCACTTCAAGGTGTAGATTCCTATGGAGACGAACAAGCAAGAAACTCTATAGGTTACTCTTTTTTTATCAGGTTCACAACACAATTCTCTAGTTACATAGTTTTGTTGTTTCAATTGTGTGGGAACAATGTCACACCAAAATCCAGTCAATGAGTTAATGATTAAAATATACCTCATTTGTTAACGAGAATCCTAATCAAGGACCCTTGATTTGCGAATAGTTAAATTTTTCAATTTTTAAAACATGTTTTAGTAGAGTATCTAAATAAGCTTGCCCTGTGGTATGGATCTTAGAACACAAGTAAGGGTACAGCTTGGCAAGAGTATGGAATAATTGAGGTCGCTAGTATCTATATCAGTATTCAGTACCTGTCGCAGGGAATCTGGTACACTACGACCCAATCGGTTTTGATATTAGTTATTTTATAGAGTTTATAAAGAGGAGGTACTACACGAAACGTAACATAACATCACGCCTTTTATCCCCGAAGGAATATTTTAAGCAAAGGTACACATTACAGCACTTGGCTTTACATACAATGTAATACCCACTTTTTACTATTTATGTAATGACTCCCATGTAATAGGAGTGAGCCTATTGCCCGGGAGACGGTGGTCGCACCGACGACCAGTCGGCCAACGAGGCAGTCACCGCGTCAAGCTCTTTTTTGCCAAGCTGTACGTATGTTATATAATTCTTACCATCCATAACTCCATCAACGGTGTTAGCGAACTGGTCAGGCATGTTCTTCAACGTCCTCATGCCGGCTTTCAAAGAATTCACTAGGAGAGCATCAATCTGCAGACATGATAACAATAATTAAGACTTTGACTGCCAATAAAAAACTATTGAAGGTAAATCCTCCGCTAACGCCGGTCGCCGATGACCCCCATGGCGTTTAACGTGTTAAGATGGAGCTTATTATAATTTATTGATTGTAAATAGGCGATCAACGATAATTCTTCACTCAGCATTGAAGTCACGTAAAATATTGAGCATAAAAACCAATTTTAACTTAATAAATAAAATGCCATAAAAATCTCTACTGTTGGTCCAAAAAGTTTGAAACCAAAGTACAACCAGAGGCCTTAGAACGAGTTTGTTTTACGTATATAGTAATCAAAACGAGACCGCGTTAGGCGCTGTGATTGGTTGGTCCATTGGAGCCGGCCAATCAGAGCGCCGAACGCGGTCTCGTTTTAATTACTATCTCGGGCCAAAACGTCAACTAAAATTGTGACGTAGGCATTTGCGTACGTGAATATATACTATATAATACATGTGAATTTTCACGTGTATCCCATAAATGCTAGAAAGGACTTTAAAGGTCATGCGCAAAGACATACATTCAAAAGCAAGGCGCAAGTCATTTTCACAGCCCAGGTTTCTGGTAACGCAATATGAACTAACTTGGGTGAATATGTGAAAACACCTCAATGAATATCTACACCGTATTATAAAGTATGTTTAGAATATAACAGGAGAGATGTAACACTGAAGGGCTACTCTATTAAGTAGCACTTAAATATCGTGCGATCTCTGACATTTTACAAAGATTTGTAGAGACAGAACTATACTTGAGCGCGATTTAAAATTTAGTAGCGTTTTAGTATTTTGATATGATAGTAGTAAGTTCTCAATTCACTATTGCAAGTAAAGAGATACAATATGCTGCATAGAAATAAATAATGTAAGTAGTTCATATTATGTAACCAGCAGCTGTAGCCAAATGCCATTTAGCGCTTGTCTACATGTAGAATAGAAAACCAAATTTTGACACTTGTCAGTGTCATCCCCATTTTGATGTCAACTCTCTTTGTAGACAAGCGCTAAAGTGGCGTTTGGCTAAAGGCACAGTCCCTTATTGCTAAAACTGCAATCAGAAAAAGCGGTCAAGACAGAAAACGCTACTCAATTTTAAGTCGCGCTCAAATATCGTGCCATATCTGTCATTTTACAAAGAATTTGTAGAGATAGAGCTATACTTAAGCACGACTTAAAATTGAGTAGCGTTGCAGTATTCCGACATTATACACTTAATTATTATGGTTTACAGCTTACTTACGTAATTATTTGACGAAAACCTCGCCTAGTTTCAAGCCATGCTAGAGGCGGCCACAGTAGCAGCGCGAGAGTCGCCGCGTCACGGGTCACGGAATGCTGTTAATGAATATGAGCCTCTAGCATGGCTTGAAACTAGTCGAGTTCCTCGTCAAATAATTATGTGTATAAAAATTAATTTTTATATGTCTTACGAAAGTTATAATATAAATCATAAGACTTGACATACAATGTATAAACATTGTTTAGTGTCATTAAGTTAGGTAACTATAAACTAATTATCAACGCCCAAAATAATGATAACTTATTTTGTTTGTTTACTATACTTTTACCTTTATCTACTGAACCAATCTTCTTGAAGTTTTACATACAATTCGGAAGTACGAAGAAGGACATAAGGTAATTTTAAAGCTTGTAAAATTATAAAACTCACAGTGTTGCTATGTTTCTCAGTCTGATTCTCCGGACTAAGGAACCCTCCTAAATAGTCGGGAGACAACAAAGTCATATACTTGGCATCCCTGGCTAAACTAGCCAAAGTTTGTAAGTAAGTATTTAACATCCGTTTTCGACTTTCCAAAACTGTGCGAGATGTATTCTGAAACGTTTTCTTTCCAGGGAATGGGAGGCTGCTTAATTCCGGCCACTGTGAAGGAATTTTGATATTAGTTTATTATGATTTTATGTCATATATTATTATAGCTAACATGTTACTGATTAAAATGTACTGAGATAAAATTTTCGAGGCAGCTCGACTAGTTTCAAGCTATACCGGGGCTCATAATCATAAGTTCTTTAAGACTTACAAACGGATCAAACAATTACGAACGATTTACCCGAGTAAACAGTTTAATAATTTATTTACTAGCTATTAAAGCTTAAATTTTAATGTCTGCTTGGTTGGTCAAGTTTCAAATGCGACTATTGAGCAAGGAGACTCCGTTTGGATTCCCAAGTCGAACATATTTATCGAGATTTTAATAGGATTTTTTACCTATTAAAATTTGGGTATATTGAAAAAGTAGCGTTGCTTACCTTATCCTTAATAGAAGAGTGTAGGTCATAGAAATCACTATATCTTCTATATATATGCCACACTTCGTTATCTGATAGTCTAGTCACTGCTATGGCGTATATACCAAAAGTTCGTCCTTTGTCCTGTACCAGAGCTGAAAGAGAGACATAGAGAGATGTTAGAATAAAAAATATATAAAAGCGCAGTGCAGACAAATTTTGGATCACACAAGGTAATCCGTGTAATAATCGAACCCGCGATACAGAAGACGGTCGCACACTGCACGACAGTGTAATCTGCTATTTTGTTATACTAGTAATATTACCCTACTATCCTCTAAGTATGAAAGAGCCATGCTTCGGCATGAATGGGCCGGCTCGACCGGAGTGATACCACGGCCACACAGAAGACCGACGTGAAACAACGTTGTGTTGTGTTTCGTGAGTGAGGTTACCGGAGGCCAAATTACCCCCCCCCCCCCGCTCTCCTTCCAACGATCCTCAAGTTCCTAATCCAGAAGGCCGGTAACGCACTTGTAACGCCTCTGGTGTATCAGGTGATCCGTCTGATCGTTTACCGACTTATCCCATAAAAAAAATCTTATATTATAAATGCAAGTTTGTTTGAATGTCTGTTTGTTTATTACTCCTTCATGTCGAATCGGCTGAAGGGATCTGGATGAAATTTGGAAAAGAGGTAGATTATGGTCAGACATAACACATAGACTACTTTTTATGCCAAATGAATGCGGGCGACGCCACTGGCAGAAGCCTAGTTGATAATAAAATTAATAGAAGTTTTCACATACCTGTTTCAATAATACACGCTGACAGAGGCGACATCAAGTTTTTGGCATTTCTACTGATTTCCGAATGAGATAGGGAAAGATTGCTATTGTTTGCTGATGACAAATTTGATGGACCTGTAAAACACAAAAAATCATATTACTCTTTAATTTACCAAAACATAACATAACGATAAAAAAGGAAACATGACATCAACAAGAAACGGAACGGAAAAAATATAGGTATTTTTTCATTTAATAACTATCGTGAGACATATCTACTAAATTAATTAAAATCGCGAGTTACTCAGGTGAATATACTGAGAAAAGCTCTACTAGTTTCGAACCACAGAGGGGTTCTTCCTCATGAGCAGAGTGCGCGGTGAGCTACGCGACATCGCCGCGACCTGGTAGAGCTTTTCTCAGTATATTCACGTGAGTAACCCGCGATTTTAGTTAAAATATAGGATTACTTTTTTTGAGGGGAAAAAATCATCCAATGACTTCTCCTGCCTTGTGTTAAGCAAGTGTCAGGTTCCTACTGACTAAAAACCACCCCATTCCTACTCCTTGTTAAAGCCAGAGCCCCGGTAACCTGTTAATTATTCAAGGATATTCCATTATCTCTGCGCTCGACAGGGGAGAGAGAATTGGAGATCGCGGTTCAAACGGTCAGGTACATAATAAAGGGTTACTGACCGCTCTCTGTCAAATATCTAGTCTCGTAATCGGCTATGACGACACCTACATAAAGAGTATCGCTGGATTATTGAACATAACACAACATTACGCCTTTTATCCCCGAAGGGGTAGGCAGAGGTGCACACAGAAGTAACACCCACTTTTCACTATTTATGTTATGAGTCCCACGTAATAGGGGGTGAGCCTATTGCCGTATACCGGGCACAATTCCAGTCTCCGTGCTACCACTGAGAATTTTTTTTAAAAACCCAGTTATACTTTGCCCGACCCGGGAATCGAACCCGAAACCCGAAACCGCACTCGGCCAATGAGGCAGTCACAATATTAAAATGGTATTTAATTTTAAGTTGAACTATCTCTGTCATTTTACAGAGAATTTATAGGGACAGAACTATTTTTGAGAGCATCGTCTCAAAATTGAATGGCGTTAGAGTACTTGAGTTTGACCCTGGTAACAAATATACTCTACTCTGCTACACAGCTCAGAAAAAAACTTGTATATCCACTTTCGGACCAGAGACCTCAGAGCTAATTTTGTAGGAAATTAGTTGTATTATCACCTCCCGAGAGGAATACGTCGAGTTAAAAGTCACCCTGTATAAGACTTTATACTTATTTTTTCATTTATGTTTTAGTTGATTATTTTTTTACAATTAATTCCGTTTTTGAATGAGCATCAAACATAATCGTCATGGTAGCAAAAATACATAACATAACATCACGCCTTTTATCCTTAAAGAGGTAGGCAGAGGTGCACACAGAAGTAACACCCACTGTTCACTATTTATGTTGAGTCCAATGTAATAGGGGGTGAGCCTATTGCCATATACCGGGCACATTTTTTGGATTTTTTTAAAAAACCCAGTAATACTTTATATGTAGCAAAAATAACCCTCTATATTTGGTCGGTTCCTCTAAACTCAAGGTCATGGCCACATTTTAAACAATACTTTACCAGCACTTTCATTGATCATCATCCTTTGCGCGAAATTGCCCACAATATCAGATCTGGACCTGTTATGTCTTGTACCAGGCACAGGTAGGACATCACCTGAAAACACACAAACATAAACTACCACGTTTACATATACATATCTAACACTACGCACACATAGAACGTGCGTAACAAAATATATATATAATCTGTAGAAACTACACTATCACAGAATTTCTATTAAAGTTTAGAAAGAAGTTCTGTTGCAAGGGAAGTGTAAAGGGGAATTTATGTTTTGGGTGTATCGATATTTAATAATAATAGTAATCTAGCTAGTCCCCATTAACTGGCAAACTTAACTATAACAACAAAAATCCTTACATAATAAATCCTTTGTTAAGGTATCCAAAGTATGTCTTAATTCATATAGAGGTACATCAAATACCAATGCTCTGACTAAATGAGGTACCCCTAGAGGACTAATGGCATCTCTTGGGGCCTTGGAGCCTATGGATTTCTCTTTGTGCCTTTTTTTAAAGGTGGAAAATCATCGAATAACTGCTCCCGCCTGGGTGAGGCGAGAGGGAGTGTCAGACTCTTACTGACTAATAACCACCCCGTTCCTTCTCCTGCACATCGAGCCGGAGCCCCGGTTACCCGTTAGGTTTGTGCCTAAGGACGTCATTTACAACCAAAGATCATCCATTGCGTTTAAGGGATATGTTATATCGGAATTTCACATTAAGCATATAAAACAATAACGATGACACCGCTATCCTTTCACGTGTGTTCACAACGTGTATCTGAGTTGGCATTCTTACAATGTCGGGTTTTTATCTATGGAATGTTTTGCAGTCAGTGTGGATTTGAACGTCATTGCAGATAGTTGCTATTCTGTATTTTCGACAATGAGTATATTTTAAGTGAAGAAATAAAGTTTATTTTTAATACTCTAAAACCACTCCGTAACAGATACCCTAAAGCAGGGATGGCGAACCATTGGGACGCGTGCCGTTGATGGCACGGAACACAACATTTTGGGCACGACAGTGACTACAAAACTGATAAATGATCAGAAACCTACAACGCATTTGTGGTGTCTCGAATATTGCTGGTGTACTCAGACTGCGGTGACAGCTTACCAGGCCAACTGTATACATTATTGCTACAGATTGACAGTAAATATCAATCGATGGCACACATAAACCCGTAAAATACTTTTCCTCCAAGTAATTGGCACGCTAATGTGTAAAGGTTCGCCTTCCCTGCCCTAAAGCTTAAGCAATCCCAGTATTGTACGTGGTACATTTTCGATCTCAAACTTTGAGCCATTTTTCCTGTGATATTTTAATTTTAGATTAAATTTCCCCTTATTTGTTCCAAATAAATTACAATTAAATATCGATTTCAACCAATTATAAACAAGAGAACTTCGCTCACAACAGAACATAGAACAGAGTGAACCGAAAAGAAGTAAGAAGAAGAAATGTAGGAAAAGGTATCTAGCTAGCAATGTATCATGTTGCCAATGCAAGGATCTACTGCATACAACTACAGGGTATTTTCTCTCAATTGTACTAAAATGCAAACGAATGTCAGTATGGAACACCTGAATTGGAAAAGAAGTTTGTTTAAAAAGCAACTTTATTTTTGTCTCAATAAAATTGGTTTTCTATTTAAAGTGAATTGCTTTTGAAAGCACCGTTAACCTATGGTATGCCGGGAGCGTAGATATACGCGAGACACATTGTTTTTTCTATTGTGTCACATATACCGACAGATAAAGAGGTTAAACATGATGTATATTTGAGCAGACGGATCACCTAATGGTGAGTGATCAACATCCTCCATGAATACTCGTAAGACTAGATGAGTAAAAACATTGCCGACCTTACGTACCTATAGTTAAAGTTGATTTTAATTTTAACATATTAAACGCCGGGTCACCGGTGACCGACGTTAGCGGAAACTTTGCCTTTAACAGTTTTGTATTGGCAGTCAAAAACTTAAAACCGTCCATTCAAATAACAACCCTAACACTGCGTAAATAAAGTTAATATTCAAACAACATTCCTCAACACAATTTTCAATACTAAAACCGTCTGCAAATTAGGACAATGTGAGAAAAAACGTGATAAGGAGGGTCTATAACTTCACTTTGAAATTTAATACCAAACGCATTGCATTTAGGTAGTGTGTGGTTCTTGTTACTTGGTACTCTTCGCGTGAGGGAGCGGGGGAACGTTGAGGACTTGTTCGGCAGGTCAAACTTGTACTTCGACTTGAAGAACAACTTAGGCAACTGATTCAAACATGACTTCATAATTTTCTTGCATTTTTCTGCGCATTTTGGGGTTCATAAGTCGGGGAGAAATGAGTTAGATATTTAGTATTTTTGTTTATAATTTGTATGGACACTTACCGCTGTATTTCTTGTCTGGTTTGTCGTCCTTTTTTATGTCGCTGAAACAATTTATAATAAGTTTTAATGAGTTTTTTTCTAAATAAGTATATCATGACTGCACGGTTGGCGCGGTGGTTGGGCAACTGGCTGCCGCTTGTAACGCTGCCGCGTGTCGCACGGACAACTCTTTGTGTGATCCACAGATTGATATTTTGGGTATATTGTAATAGTTGTATATTGGGTCTGGGTGTCACATACATATGGCAATAGGCTCACCCCCTATTACATGGGACCCATAATATAAATAGTGAAAAGTGGATGTTACATTGTACAGTGATATAATGTGCACCTCTGCCTACCCCTTCGGGGATAAAAGGCGTAATGTTATGTGGTGTCACATACATGTGAACTTGTATGTTTGTATACACACCCACGACACAGGAGACAACCCTAGAGTGAGGCAACGTTTTATAAAAAAAATGTATTATACAAAGACATAGTGTATTAATAAGTTACCTGCTCTTATCTGAACTGTCTTCGCTATCCATCATATAATCGCTTTGCCAAGATGGATCGTCCTGAAAACAAAAAAATCTTTTAACTCATGAAGGTAACCTTAACTTTGAAAGATTAACAAAACTGAAGCTATATATCTGATAATATACGGATTTTATTTTAGAATTATTAACTCTATTAACTAATCAGTAAGTTGATTTCTGGATACCAAGTGTTTGAAAGATCCCACACAACCCTATCATTGTAAACCAAACCATAACCCCAAGCCAATAGATTCTATTTTCCAAAAGCACAAATAGTACAGGTGTTACCTTAATAATACAGATACAAATAACTGACTAACCTCCAAAGCATCACAAACACACTTCTGGATCTCATCGAAGCAGTTCACAGGGTTATTAGTAAAATCTTCGCCTTCGGTCGTGATCTTCCTCACTAATTCTCCATAACAGTTCTCCGGTATACCCATCACAGTTGGTCTGTTGGGAGCCAAGTATAGGTCGCAGAGCTCCAGAGCTGATGATCGTAAGTTGTCTAGCACTGCTTTTGAAGTGTGCGGTGCATCTAGAAATTTAAACAACAAAAAAATGTGTTAATTTATATCATATTCTTTTGAAAAATGTTGTCTTTAGATTGACACAGATAGTTATACAGTTTGTAAATTACAATTCCGATATGGAATCTGCAATCGTGCCCACATCTTACAAGAGTACTATTCTAGACTCCGCGCATTCTATTCACGACTATGGGCTCCTGATGCAGCTCGAAACTAGTCGAGGTTCCTCGTCGAAATATTTTTTTAGTAAATTTTAATATTTCTCACAACAGTTACATCACAAAAAGATAATAACAATGTAATCAAGATAATTACCAGCCTCATTTAACTCAATCTCCAATAAATACTGTGCATTAGATCTCCAAGCAGTGCTTGCTCTTAAGAACTTGAGTGACCTCGCGACTTCTTCAGAAACTTTGTCCGGGGTAGTAGTATGTGATAGACCTTCTTGTGGTCCTAAAGTGGCCCTTCTGGCTTGGATTATCCTGCTTAGGTACTGAAGGGATGAAAGCTTCTGTCTGTCCTGTAGTTCCCATTCACCTGCACTGTCTCTGGAATGCTGGAAATTTGATGTTGTGAAGTGTGAGTTTTTAGGACTAATTATTATGCTTTAGTACAAAATTTCCTTCTTTACAAGAAACTACACTATAATATACAGTTCCATCTGGGTTTTCTTATTTTTGTACTGGAATGTATTTTCTCCTAGATTTCGATATTCAATTCAATTCGATATTCATGATTTTGAAATAAGGTTCAAAATGTTTGAAAATAATTTCTTACTACAATTAACTAATTCATTATTAAGACTTCCAATTCAATTTCGAGCAAATTCGGTTAATAGAGAAGGTTTGATCAAGATATTCTACATTTATCGTCGTAATTTGAGAATTAATAATAATATGAGACTACAAACTCACTAATTTCTGTATATCTTTTTGTACGAGTTCCACTGTGGCATCCAACTCTTCAGCATCGGTGCAGCACCTGATGACGACCAGGAACAGCTCCGAGGGTAGGCAGGAATCCCGACAACACTGTTAACAGACAAGATATCAATTCAATTTGTAGGAATTTTGTTTAATAAAAACCATACCTCTTGAGAAATGTTAATTTGATTAGCTTACCCACTTAATTGTTTGACGAGATAACTCAACTAGTTTCGAGCTATGCCTGGGGCCCGTAATCAAGCGTAGTTAAATATCGAGTTGTCTTAGCAAATGGTTACTTAAGTAAATTAAACACATATTAAAATTAACAATAGAAAAAAATACTTACACTTCGCAAAATAGTCCTATTAATATTATCAGGGTCGCTCAACAAATTAATCATAGGTCGTAATACAACAGCAGATAGTAACTCAATCAGAATTAGTTTCAATGCGTGACACCGCCACGCTTCTTCAGGCGCGACCAAATATAGAACTGCTTCCGACACTTCGCATAGTAGCTCTAGAGGAAAATGAATTGTAAATTAATGAAGTTAGAGTTTATATTTTAATGAATCTTATGTTACTAGAAAACTATTGTATAAAGTCGTACTTAATTGGTTGAATTTTCGATATTATTAATTAGGGCATAGAGTATAATATTTGTTGATTATTTGAACTAAATTCATAATGCCATCAATCGGTTTATAGTCAGCTCATTAGTTGCAGTTAATTCGATTCTTTAATACCATAATTGTATACGTTAATACTATAAAGTATATAAACATACATTACACTTGTATCACGGGACTAATTTTTGAAATGTGGGCGTACGGTATCTAAGTAACGCCATAGTATAAAGAACAAAGTAGGTTATCTTCATACAAATGCTCCGCGCGCGGCTTATATGTGTGCGCCATAGTATCTATGCGTCGACGCACGCACACTATAACAAAATCTCGACCCGTTTCTCAGTGTGCCAGGCAGGGCTGACACTGTTCGAGGATTGCGCGCGCTTCACGGCTTTTCGGCACTGTTCAATGAAATAAAAAATGTCTGATAATCGTAGAAGAACGTATTGCTGTGTGTTTGGGTGTCTTAATAATTAATCGATTCCAGAACTGTCTCAGATCGTTCAGATTAGGTACCTATTGAACAGGAAAGGTAAGCTAGTCACTTTTTCTAGCATAATATAATTTGTAGGTACTTGATGATGAGATACCTACTTACTTATTCTTACTCTTATCATTCTTCATAGTTCCTACTCAACCAGAAATGTAATTACCTACCTACTTAAATATTATAAGAAAATGTGGTATTGTATTGTTTATTTCACAGTTTATCTGATTTGTTAAGAGCGTAGCCGAGTCGCATTTTTCCATATAAATGTATTCCCAAATTTACTTTCTGAATACTATGTATGGAGCTAAAGTTTATTTTAAGAAGTTAATAATCTTTTTATAAGCTTTTAATTTTTACTAAATTTATAAATTGATAAAATATTCAATCATAATATCGAGCGGTAACGGACTATTTGGTTTAAGCGACATTTTGGTCGATATTGAGTTATATATATATTCGGAATCAGCGAATTTTTCTCCGTCGAATATATATTATAATAACTCAATATCGCCCAAAATGTCGCTTAAACCAAATAGTCCGTTACCCCTCGATATGCTTTTCATTTCATAAATTTAGATCAAGTGCTGCTTGTTCGAAAATATTAACTAAAAGTAAAAGTGACAACCCTGGGGATCAACGCAAGAGTAGGCTAATAACTCGGCGGGCGGCCTTAGATAACCTACTGTGTTCTTTCTACTATGGTAACGCCCACTTTGGGCCTACTTCTCAAGATAAAACGGAAAGTCTATTTAGAGCATAATTATAACCCTCCGATTGTAGAGCCAAGGAGTTTTCCCGGTAGGCTACAATATGGGGTTCTTCAAAAAAGGAGTATGTAGGTTTTATAAGAATCGGCAAGGCCCATGTAAAGCTTCATGTGTTGCAAGCGTTCATAGGCCACGGTAACGACTTACCATCAGGTGAGCCGTGTGCTTTTTTTGACACCGCCGTAGTATAAAAAAAAACAAAAATAATGCAATTAATGTGATCATATAATCACAAATCCTTACCATATTCCTTTTCAGAGTCCATACAATAAATATCGCGACACAACTGTCTGTTCTCTATAGAACATTCCAGTTCGAAAAATATATCCTTCAGAGTCTTCCCACTTATATTCTCTGAACTATCGTAAAACTTTGACTTTCCAAATGTTTGTGCATCTGTAAATACAATAACAATACCAGTAACTGTAATTGAACTTTACCATTAACATTAACGAACTGCATCCTTACTAATATTATAAATCTGAAAGTGAGTTTGTTTGTTTAATTGTTCCACTTTCACGCCGTAACTACTAAACCGATTCCTTTGAATTTTTGCAGACGTAAAGTTAGAAGTCCAGAATAAATAATAGGGTACTTTTTATCCCAGAAAGATTTGATATTCCCGAGGAAAAAGAAGTATTGGTATAGATGGCGCTGTGTGTATTGGTATATGTTACATAGGCTACTTTTTATCCTTTTGGGACGCGAGCGAAGCTGCGGGTAAATACTAGTAATAAAACACAAACACAAAGAAAATTCGTACAAAGAGTTCTTCAGTTTGCTAACAATACTTGAATACCTAATTCTTTTATGAACTACGTTTAAAAAGACCAACTTCAATCTTCTTTTTTTAAAATCGTTGTTTAATATACTAAAACCTTCTCGTAAGTGTAACAAAGACTTTTCTGAAAACCGCATCAAAATCGGTTTCACCAATTGCGAGGTAATCGCGGACAATCATACATATACATTCATACAGATCAAACCAAAAATCTCCTTGTTATTTGAAGTCGGTTAAAAAAACTTCTATATTCAATAACCACAATAATGAAGAGTAACATAACATTTCTTTTTGATTTCCTTCAGAAGTAACATTGAAACAGATCCGAGTATAAATTGTGTGCAAATAAATAAGATAATGTAGGTACCTGGCGGCCAAGACAAGTCAGTATCACTTTTATTTCTTCTATGAGTTTTCTTATCATCTTGTTTCTTAGGGCTCGGTCTAGAAGTACCGTTGGATACATCTTTAGCGGTCATCAAATCCACATGTTTCAACCTCACTCGTGACTGTTTGAACAGTTTTAAATGTGTTGTCAACTCTTCTGGAAACCGGGTGGACAATAAGTGGATCCAATCCACACATTTCACTCTGGAATTGAATAGTATTTTAGTTGGTCAACTAGGGACACAGATATATGCGGGACATTCGCGAAGGGGTAGGCAGAGGCGCACATTACGGCACTTAATGCCACTGTACAATGTCACACCCAAGTTTCACTATTTATGTCATCAGTCCCATGTAATAGGGGTGAGTCTATTGCCATATACCGGGTACAAAACAGACTGAGAATTTAAAAAACACAGTAATATTTTGCCCGACCCGGGGAATCGAACCCGAGTCCCTTTGCCCAGCAGTCGCACTTGCAACCACTCGGCCAACGAGGCAGTGTTTTTTATTGTGTCTCATATTCAAGAGGTTAATACATCATAATGAACAAACATTTTAATCTTCCTAAAAGGTACAAAGAGATAGAATAAATCTAGGTTACTTTGTTACGAATTAATAAATAAACAAAATATGTCACACACATATTTGTTTACAGTTTGATATGATTTATTTAATATACAGTGTTTACATTTTAAAAACTGTTTGTTACACTGTTATTGGAACCCATTATCGGAAACATTAATCATTATAGTTAAAAAAATATTTGGAAACAAAGCAAATAAATTAAGCACACAATGTTTAAATATGACATGTAAATTAAGTTTTTATAAATTATAGAAGTAGAAACACATTTCTAAACTGTAGAGATATATGTTTTTAATTAGGTAGATTATTTATTAGAATAAGACCCAGCTGCACTTCACACTCTGCCACGGTTCCACTGCAGTATGGTGTGGATCTTAGAGATATTTAGTCATAAATAAAAGCTTTTTCAATTAATATAGTCACCTATTAGCTACATTAGCACCAGCAGCCAGCACCAATCGTTTTATAGAATGGTTTGTAAGTTCCTCGTCATTTGTCAGTATCTCATACCACGGACTCACATAATCGTTGATGATTATCGTTATAATCTCATTCAGGAAAGAATCTACTGTCTCACTTCCCGTTATTCTGTTGTCGAATTTTGGCAAAGGGGTTTCTTTTGTAAATAGTTCTAGTACCTGCAAGAAATTAATTTAATTTTTAATGCAATTATAATTAAATAAACATTTTTAATTTTAAGAACAAACTATACTAATTCGATCATTCAATTAAAACATAACAATAAATATTTTAAGATTGAATTCAAATATATTTTATATAAAAAAGAATAGCAATTATAATATGAATATACCTTTGGTACTTGAATAGAAAAGTTTGTCTGTTGTAATGGGTCATCCAGACAATCTAAATCAACTGAGAATATACTTTTACTGTCATATGTAAAGTAAAGAACTGTGACAATCCTGGAAATGAAAAATATGTGCATTAAAACTTGTTCCATTATTTAAAGTGCTAAAATTCATACTCATTATAAAGATAATGGTGCAGAAATAATTAGAAACGTGGCTTTGTTACTTAACTCGTCGAGTACCGGTTTTATAGACACAATTAAAGAACAATAGGTCGCGGTCACCGGTGACCGCTTGGTGTTTGACAGTTTAAAACATAGACCGTGTTAAATTTCCTGTCAAATTTCGCTGAATATAACTTCTGAGAAGGATGCCCTACATACATCAACATTCAACATTTATTATCTAGTTTCCAGAGCGTATATAGCACTCGCCGATAAAAGTATAGACCATATAATAATAACAAACAACGGACTAACAATAATATTGTTCTTTTAAGAAGAAATTACACTTTCTTATCAACTTACCCAGCCAGAAACGAGACGATGAACGCAAGAAACGTTAAATACCACCCAAAACCAAACAATCCAGTAATAATAACAGTAACTAGACCGAACCAACTGAAAATTCTAATAACCATGTTTGAATTTTATATAAAACAACTACAATTTACAATATAATAACAAAATAAAAGTGAAAACAAACTTCAACGCCTCAACTCTTGACGATTTATTTTTGTAAATCTGACATAATCTATCATTAGTCATCTGTCAAAATTCCTTGTGATATACGTTTCGTTCTAAGCATCCAACACGCGAAATAATTGGGCGAACAAATATAAATCAATTTGAAATTGAGATTAAAATAAAAAATAAGGGGATTTATTTCAGTTATTATTGTTTATAAAAGCATCTTAAATAATAGTTTTCTTCAATATTCCAGCAACAAACTCGTTTCGGTAAGTTACTGCATTATGCCTTTCTTTATTGATTCGATCAATGGTCGATTCTTCTTCGATCAAAGTACTAGTACCTATTAGGCTTTTGTAACTTGGATAAAATGAGTACTCTACTTACTCAAGATCAGTCAAGGTTAAATCCCCCTATTTAACAGTAATATTAGAAGTGAAAACTTTTGAAGAATATAAAACGAATAAATCTTTGACAACGTAATTAAATTGTTATGATAACCTTGGCCCCAATAATAACGTAATTAGCGTAGCCGATTATTAAATAAAGGTCTCATACAGCAATCGATAACTTTCTGTTATCAAGACTTGCAGAATGGACCTCTTATTTGTAGGTCAGTTAATCGATTACCCGACATTATGAAGTCTATTATCATTCATCGGGCTTCCCACTCAAACCGAAAACGATCTAATTTTATTTGAACTTTTATAAGTCATCACTTCATCAGTCATCACAAGATATAATACTATGATCGATATACCAATGTACCGCGCCATGGAGATGCCAAACCAAAGAGGCTGATGACGCACTTGTAATTTTAGTGGTGTTTCAGTTCTGATGTCCATGGGCGGTGCTCATCACACTTACCATCAGGTGATCCTTTCACTCAATTGTCTTATATGCAATAAACAAAGAGTATATAACCAGAAAAGGTTGAAAGGTAAACCAAATTGACAGGGGGAACCTTAGACTAATTAAGGGGGGATCAGACTACAATCGATGCAATACCTAGGTAACAACTGGTAATATTATGCTTCTTACTACGTCTATTGGGTTAAGTAAAGAAACAAGATGTGCATAACAGCATTTTGATTTATTGAAATACAACACAATCATATGAACTGTTTATACAGTAGATATAGATAAAATAGCCTTGAGACTATCTAATAATACTAGTACAATAATTTTATTGTCAAACATGTCAAATTAATTATTTGAACATGATGGTACTTTACACAGGAGAAGGGATAATCTTCTCAAATTGTGTAACTGTTTTCGCGTCCAAAATGTTGAAGGAATGAATTTTTAATATAGGCAGACAAGACCACAGTCGGTGCAGTCTATATACAAATAAGGTATAATAATAATTAATTTCAAGACTTATATAGTAGCGAATATCCAGAAAGTGCGTTAACAATTTTATTTATTACTTATCATATTTATTAATATGTGCAGAAAAATACAGTTTTACATTAATTGCCAATTCCTTTGCCAATTATTTTACAACCTCACAGTCACGTTAAAAATCGTATTAGTTTCGAAGCTTCCCAATTTTAAATTACTCACTCGAAATATGACGAGTGTCTAACATTCTTTAATACAAATCATAATTAAATTGAACACAAACAAATGCGAAATTGTAACGAATACACTGGTATATGATGTTCTTCACGTTTAAAAGTAAAATTATTTGTTTTACTAATTTTGCACTTTACAATTAACAAGTGAAACATTTTCCGAAATTAGAGCTTAAACTATAATAATGATAAGACTCATCGAGTGCGCGAAAATATTACCAGAACGTAAGATAAAACAGATTCCTTACTCAAAAAGAATTAAGGTTGAAAATCTGAAACGGAGAGTGAGACTTACATTCAAATTAATATTTGTTGTTTTTGTATCTTTGACAAGCAAAACCCTTCCTTATCTACCTCTTACACAAGGATGTAATTACTATCACATTTTTATAAGAAATTGATTTTTTTTAACATTTTAAGTGTGTTGATAACGGACACTTTTTAATTGACTGTGGACATAGCTCTGAAGTAATAATTAAGTTTGATTTTTAAATATATTAAAGGCAGAAGCATTAAAAGAATAACATTCAGTAAAAGATTTAAAAATAAAAAGTAGAAATTTTAATGACACTTTGGCAACACTTTTTTAAAGTTATGGTTCTGTTCGACGCATTTTCCTGATAGTATTCTATATTTAAATAATTAAAAAAATACTTTTGGACAGCAAGATTATAGTTTTTACATTTGACGGACAGCTTTCTTACCATATGAATATATTTTCATTACATACATTTGTTTTTTGATTTCATTTAAATATGGCAATACAGACAAATAGTAGAAGCTTAACGGCTTCAAGTTTATACAATTTATAATTCCTTTAAACATACATTCAGATCTATTAATTAATATACAAATAAATAATTAAATCATTTGCTGGATTATACTCTTTTTTGTAATCTCTTTCAATATATTATATTACAAATTGATGACGGCATGATATACGGCCGAAATTAATAATCTATCTGAATCCAATATCGGTGAATTTTTTTTTTTATTTGATTGGCCGACGTTTGACCTTCCACCGCCTGGTGGTAACCGATGATGCAGTCTATGGAGCACGTCGTCCCATAAGCAACCTATTCACTCGAGCCTTGAAGACACCCAGTGCTTATAAACCTATAGCCAAACGCCACTTTATCGCTTGTCTATAAAGAGAGTAGAAAACTAAATATATGGGGATGACACTGAGAAGTGTCAAAATTTATGTCAATTCCAATTCCAATTGTAATTTAGTTTTCTATTCTACAAGTAGACAAGCGCTATATGGCATTTGGCTACAGTTGCAGGTTAAGATCGATTTTTGACAGTAGATGTATAGTTTCTGTCAAAATTCAATCTCAAAGCATACATCTTGGATCGATACAGGTTATTTATTTCGGCCAATAATCAGGATCAACATATAATCATAATTTGATTACAAACATAGACAACATGAGACACAATGTTTATTTTTCACAATAACAGTTACATACCAGCTTTCCAACCTCATTCAAAAGGTCACACGTCTTAAAAGCCTCATTGCAGAAATAGAAATATTAAATAATACAATCGTAATTCAAACTTTGGACCTTCATTCTGAAATGGGACTTAAAAACACGACATAAATACCATTATCGTACACAAGGGCTATTCGACTATAACTTTGCACTTACATTTTATACGTTAATTTGTTAGGCTGTAGAAAATATTATTGCTTTGTCGTATCCTACAACGCTTTGTGTACATTAGTCTAACTAGAGCCATCTAAACTGAAATAAAAATGAACGAAACTCAAGGTTTTTACCTCCAATAGTTCCTTGAAGACTCAAGTGTCATTGAACCTTGATCAAAAGTTCCTCACCTATTCGCCAGATGGCCATACTGTGCTCTCTAAACAATCTAACATAAAATCATCAACAAATGTTACCAACTTAATAATAACAATCAACATAGACCTTAAATATTAATCAATGTCCATAAATAAATGTAAGTAGTTGAAATAAATTAAAAAATACTTTATTTTCCCCCCTCTTTGCTATTACTCAAAATATACACTCATGGCAGACCCAAGATTAGTTATTCTATAGTTAGTTGTAACATTAATTTCTATACATTATATTACATCATACTCAACAAGAATATCAACAATGGACTCGATAACTTTAACTAAATAAATACATGTAGTACTTACATACAATTGTTTGTATATTACGCATACCTAGGTATATTTATGTAATGCTTACATACACTTTGAGAACTAGGTAACATCCCAGTAGGTAATATTTAGTTGAATACCATGGAGGCAGATCTTGAACCCACTGTGAAATCTTTGTATTGGGAGAAGACACAGAGCTGGAAAGAAAAACAGGTAAAATTAGTATTACAGTCATTATTCCATGACAGAGCAAAAAGTTTTTGTCTTGACACATATAACAGATTGTTTGATATGAAACGTGCCTTAAATCGATGTTTTCCTGTTATTGAATAGTTATTCCATTATTCATAGAGACAATTGTACGAAATACGAATCATTAAGACCATAAAATCTGTTCCGCAGTTGGTGGATTACAATAATTTGCGCGCAATAATTTGGCGGATTTAAGTGTAAGAAAACCATGCTTCGGCACGAATGGGCCGACTCGACCGAAATGATACCACGACCTCACAGAATACCGACGTAAAACAATTCGTTCTATTTCGTCGGGTGAGCGAGGTTACTGAAGGCCCAGTTACCCTCCCCAACTCCCCAATCCCTGAATCCCCAATAATCCTCATATTCCTAATCCCTAAATGCCGGTAACGCACTTGTAACGCCTCTGGTGTCTGGGTGTCCACGGGCGAGGCCGATTGCTTATCATCAGGTGATCCGTCAGCTCGTTTACCGGCTTATTCCGTAAAAAAACAATAATAATAATTATCAAATGATGTAATTATAACGAATTTGTTTTATTAAACATATTTTTTTATTATTGCCATTATTTTATTCAAGGTCTTCCTTGACTGACTGACGTCATTACATTAAAGATCATTATCTGTGTACACCATTAGGAAACAATTAATGATTTCTTCAAGTACATAACCATATTTATTTATCAAGTTTGATGACTGATAAACAAATTGATATAACTGCTACCATATAATGAACGAAATTATATTATGACATAAGCGACCAATTTATCATAATTATGGTACTTATCTTAGAAACATCAATAAAATTAGTTATAATTCACAATTTGGCAATATGATTAATACTCAAACGCTACTTAATTTTAGGTCGCGCTAATACTAGCTAGTACATAATATATTTCTGTCTCTACAAATTCTTTGTAAAACGACAGAGATCACGATATTTAAATACAATAAAAAATTGATAGCCTTTCAGTATTCGGTCGTAAGACGGCCAATTGTTATCAGTACTTGCTTGTCATTTTAACGTCAAAATGATAAACTGATTGTAATGTTTCTCTTCCTAGTGATAACAGAGTTTGGTCAGGTTTTAGGTTGAGAGCCAACCTGAAGGTCTATGGAAAGTAAATATTTACCATATATTGGTAACATTGATAAGGTTTCACGCAAAGTATGTAGGTACAGGAATATCAACTAATCAAAATGTGTTTGGACTACATAATAATGCTCAAACAATATTTTATCTTTGTTAGATAAAAAATAACACTCCATGACATACAGGGAATTTCTTTTTACGTCATAAAGTTATGTGAACGATTTTAATATGTTGATATATCGTACCGAAAATTTGTTCATACAAAAGTAGTCTATAACCATCGGAAATAAGACCTATAATGGAGTTTGTTGAGACTGGTCACTGGTAACCACTTAATAATAGTTTTGGTTACAATAGCTTAGTTTTGAAATAGGGTATATTATTATAACTATATTCTCAGCTCAAAATTGACCTAGTAACACAGAACTTTGGTTGCATCGATAGAAAATAGCATCGCTTCAGCTACCGTGTAGGGTGAAATCAGGCTTAAATTAATTGTATGAAGGTGTAATTCACTCAATAACAACAACAACACAATTAACAATACTTTGAAACAAAGCCAACGCGATTTCAAATCTCAAGTATGTACTATAAATCTAGTTGCAAAACAAAGAAGGTTCAATTTACCTTATCCTTAAGTTGTTGACACATATGAAGTGCTGCCGTTAACATAAACAATACATCACTTAGCCAAGGGACAGCGCAGTCTGCTTGACATGAGTCAATTCTCATTGTTCCATGAACGGAGCTCAGTTGGTACGCAACAAATATAAGCTTGTGCGACTGTATGTAGAATGATATTGCTAAGTCTTCTGGTAGATTCGGAGATAGGGCCTTCTGAAAATAATATTGTTTATAAGGTTTACTTTCATAAAATCACATGGAAAATTTACGTAGGGACAAATTGGTCACTATTTACAAATGATGGTTAACAAGTTTATGATCAGTCCGATGGATAGTATCTTAGCCTAAAGAAGCGTTAGAATTCAAGAGGTTTTGTTACTAACCCAATAAAAAAATTAGGTTTTCTAATAAAAGGTAGGTTTGTTTTTATAATAACTATCATAAGACATACTAAATTATACTAGTTTCGAACCACAGAGGGGTTCTACCCCATGAGCAGTGAGCGCGGTCGCGGCGCCGTCGCGCAGCCTATTCTGAGGTTACTGCTACTGAGTAGAGCTTTTATCAGTATATTCATGTGAGTAACTCCCAATTTCAGTCAAAAGGTCGGTTTATTAATTATTATGTTTTCGGCTGACTCACGTAACTATTTGACAAGGAACTCGACTAGTTTATAAACATAAAAATTAATTTAGTACGTCTCTCGAAAGTCGGTTTAATAAGTTGATGCAAAATAAAATTAAATCTATCTTTACTGTTTGATTAAGTAGCGCCATGAAAAGGCCATTTTTTATTTTACTCGCTCAATGCTGTATAATACTTTAGGTAGAAGTAATATTTACCATATTTCTACTCTTCATAAGCTCATCAATTGCTTTTTTCTTGGGCAGTACTAAGGCAGTCCGAGCTCGTTGCAATGAACCAATAAGACATTGAATTATGTGAAGCACTTCTTCTGATGACCTGCAATACACAGAAAAATACAGTAAGAAACACTGCCAATATTCTCTAGTGGTAAACAGATGAGCTACATTATTCACCTGATTGTGTTCATAAATAAAACAGACATTTTTCAAAGCATTTTCCTCCTAAATCTAGTTAAGTTTCTTTCTGTTATTTAATGCTTCTTTGCAATCGAGTTTATTCCATAATTTGTATTTTAACACACAGTTCATATGCTAATATTATAAATAGGAAATAGTCTAGTTTAATGGTATAAACAAAAAAACGTTTTATTATAACATGATAATGATAAGCTATAGGTATTGTTGTTTATAAATTGTAACTAGGTCATAAAAATAAATGTACAATCACATTACTCATACGATTCAAAATCATGATTTATGAATGACTTTTGATAACTTTAACAGTTGAATAAGAACTGTTAATAAATAAAGGGAAGTATAAAACTGTTTAGTATTTTTTTGATATCCGGTTTGATAACTTTGACAAAGTTCAATATTTTCAAATTATCTGTTCAGTATGTCATTTTCTCAATAAGAATAGCAACGAAATATCCTTTTACATGCCAATATAACCTTAAAACATAACATAACATCACGCCTTTTATCCCCGAAGGGTTAGGCAGAGGTACACATTAAGCCACTGTACAATGTAACACCCACTTTTCAATATTTTTGTTACGAGTCCCATCCATTAGCCTATTGCCATATACAGGGCTTACTTACTACTACTAACTTAAAAAGTAACCATACAAATCTCGCAAAGTTTAGTTGGTTCGTCTTATTTAAATACTATACTTCTGAGTTATTCTAGTACAAAATTAACATAACAAATCCTATAGACTTCGTAAACAATATCTTATTTAGCTGAAATAAATGTATATTATGTAACCTTGAGCTCTTTTGTTATGTATGTTGAGGTCATCTGTATTCATGTGATGTTTTAATGCAAATTATGATAGCTATTTCCTTTTGTACTTAAATAGTACATAGAGATGAGAATATGACCTATAAATATTGCAGTGGGCAAAAATATAGGTCACTTACATAGGTTGCTTAATGGTTCACAAATCAGTGTGCAAAAATATAGGTCACTTAATGGTTCATGCATCAAGAAAACTTAATGAGGTGAGTATCATTGAATTTTTGTTTAGTATACACAGAATTGGCTAAAACATGGTATCTCATACAAAAAGATAATTAAATGAACCACAATGAATCAATTGCTCAAAAATGTATAAAACAACTTTGACACAGATATTCGAGCAAAAAGTTTTCATTTAAAATGGTTAATTTATAATGTGTGTCATTAAAAAACACTTTTAATTACACATACCTGAATACATAATGTTTATCCACATTATCAATGTAACCAATTGCTTGTTGTAAATGATTTGCAGCATCCTGTATCTGCTGCAACTTCCATGGCCCATCCTGGTTGATTGATGTACGGCATATTGTGTGCATTTGCCGTAACACTTTGAAACTTATGTCCTGGCAATAGAATACAAAGTTACTATCATGATATTTACTAGTGATTATCATCTAATGAGGTAGTGGTCAATTACATACAGATAATAATACAGCTTTAGCTGATTATATTAATATTAATGATCAATAATGATTCATACTTACAGCATGGGATATGCTGTCCCCTGTTAGTGTCACAATACATTTTAACTGTTCAGGTTGTGATGTCAATATGAATTTATCTTGTTTCTGCCCCTCATTTCCATACAACGGCACAGGAAACCTGTGAGCGCATTCCTAAAATGCAAATCCTGAATTAAAACCATATCGAATTATTTTATTAATTCATTTTCCACTAGTTAGTACTTACAACTAAAACTGTGTGAAGCTGGTGTAATATCGCATGCACCTCTTCACGAAGGACCCATTCAAATTCTTCTTTCTAAAACAAATTACATGTTAAAGTTACAAAATACCTCTTGTGAATGATTGAAACAAATTGCCCACTCGATGTTAGTTTTACAACGGACGAAAGACCAATTGATTGACAAACCAGATTAGCTGCTTCTTCTTTTTCGTTATCACACATTTTAACTGAATTTTAGACGTCTAATAATAAATTATATCCAGTTTATGTCAGCGTTGCCTTTTCAATTCAGGAGAATTTTACAAATCACAAATTGAAGGGGACAGAAATCAGATAGAGGCGCGGGGCAGGGGGGTCAGTTACTATGATTGTTACATTTCCGTTTAGAAATTAACAGAAATTAATGTTTACAGAATTCTTATACATTTCTGAACGGAAATGGCATAATCGCTAACGGTAAGCAAGAACAAGAAATGGTTACATACGTTACATACTTAGATAATGACCGATAAATTGGCCATTAAGTACATTTTTCAAGATTTAAAGTAAATTGTAGAAAATCTATGATCACTATCAGTTATGTCATAGATATTATTATTTTATGTGTCACACAAATGTTAACTTTATTCAGTAGTAAATACAGTAACTTTTGACATTCTTTTAAATAATAATTTAAATTTTGTAAACGAGTGAATTTCGTTTTCTTTTTTCGTTATAAATAAGATCCAACTGAAACATCCTAAATTACAACAGATCATAGTCAACAAACATCGGGTTATGTTCTTTGAATACGATAATATAATGTAATTTATATTACAATGATTAAATCAACAGTTAGAAAATAATATAACATTTTTTAATGCAATGAAAAAATATTATAGGTAGCGATTCTATGTCTAATACTAGCTGTAATGTTAAATAGTTGCCACTTTTAGTATAAATTTATTCAAAGAGCTGCCAATTACGTTTACGGTGAGATGTCAGATTTTTGAAATATAATTTTTAACTTGATAATAATAACTCCGTTTAAAAAGCTTTTATTTGAAGAGCTATAATATAAAACATATAAAAATGATTTACCCAAAGGATCTAAAACGATATTACGAGTTTCTTGAAAAAGAGTGTCGTGAAGCTGGAATAATTGCCGGGTAATTAGATTTTTATGTATTTTATATGTACTATGGAATAGGTAATGGCTACTATATTTGTTACCTAATTTTTTTAGGATTTGCCTGCATGCTCAAAAAATAGAAGGTACCTAGCATAAATTAGGACCCTTTTCACCTGCACGTTTTCTTTCTTTCTTTTCCAGAAAATCTGGTCGACATATGAAATTTCCTTACACTCTATCGGCCAAAATAGCACAGTATCCTGTATTCTTCTACATGAAAAATAATTGGATTTGGATGTATTGGCCTGTGGGCTGTTTCGGAAGCTTTTTTGTGTTCTTTAAAATCCATAGATTGGTGAATTCTAAATCAAATAAAAAAAATTGGGCAGAAATTAAAAAAAAGAATGCTGCAAAGGAGCATCATTAATATTTATGTTTGTTAATAAAATTACAAATTATTTGTATCTGAAACATAAAATTGTGTTGTTTTGCCAACAGACCATGTTCAATTTGTTTACTAGTGATTGATAATATATTTACATTTTTATGTCATTCATACATTTAATTTTTTAAAAACACCGCGCGACAATTTTCTCATCTCAGCCTTTGCGCCAATCGTGCAGTTAGCACTTTCATATTATTATAGGTACAATGATATATTTTTTTGTCTAACGGGCCGGTAAATCAGCCTTGTCAGAACAGAAAGTTCGATGATTGGACACCGGTTTCACATTTTCAATCAATGTACTAGATTTATTTCTTCCACATTTCTACCACGTTTGTCAGAAATGTAGCCAAAAATCCTGTATCAATGATAAAGAACCGTTATTCCAGTAGGTAACAAAAGGCCTATAACCGTAGCATGAAAAGTTGGAATAAAATGACATAATTTTGGTATTGCTGAAATGTCAGTATTGTATTGTCAGCGTCAATGTCACTGTCAAACTAAAATATTATTTTGTTGTTGTGTCCGTGATTCCGTATTGAATTTTTTAATTTCAAAACATATTTTATGGAATCACAATGACTGTGAATTTGTGATTATTATAAATTGTGTCGTTATTATAGACTGAATTTAGTAAATAGCCATTATGTGGGTTAAACCTCAAGAAATTTTCATAAAAACTGCGCTTTGGTAATTATGTTTACTATGGCCGCTTATCATTAGTAATAAACTTGATTGTGAAATTGTGTTAATATTATTATCCTATCCTTAGGGATTCCGACGAAACGACTTTGTACTTTGTCCTACAGAGGAGAAAAGGGCATGGGAAATCGAAAGGATTCTCTTCGCTTCTTGTGGGTACTTTAGACAGCGTTCGAGATACAAAACCAGCGCCCTATAGAATTTTACATCAGACACCAAACTCAGAAGTGTATTATGGTAATCCACACTTATTATAAGATTCAATTTTTCCTTGAAATAAAAAAAAATCTCGACTCATTTCTTATCAATCTAACTTTGATTAGGGTTTGAGTAACTAGATATTAAATAATTATTGGGTTTGATTTCGTCATTGAAAGTTAATTTTTGGCTTTAGTTTTAAAGCCAAGATTAGGATTATAGAAGATAATACAACATGTGCATTGAGAGCAGAAAGTCAAACATCTAGTTGGCAATGCTTTAGAATAAAAAATAAGAAAAGATTTCTGAATGTAATTAGTTTTGTGACACGAAATTTCTTATTGGAATAGTATTAGAATATGCAATTTTAATATAGAAGTCTTAGAACTTGACAAAATTATATGCATATGTTTTTGATACTATGACTCATACTAATTACATAAAGAATGTGGTAACAATGTATCATAATAATATTTTTCAGTTTATGTTTAGGTCTATAGATTGTCTATCAATTAGTACTGAATGTGTCAGTCAAGGACATTTAGAATATTAACATTTCATATTCTACTCCAGGAATCATTGGTAATAAAAATATGTTGCATCTTACTTGGATTTTACGTCTTATTCTACATCTTACATATTCTTGGTAAAACCTAAATCCTACAAATATAAACATATAATTGATTCCCAATTTTTTAAAGTAACTGCAATTTTGGCTATATTTTTTCTTCATATAATAAATTGAACAATGACCAAACAACCTAATAACAAACAGAGTTGCTAGTTACTGATCACAGCCAAGTGTAACTCAGTGGTATATGAGCCTATGTCCTAGCAGCAGTATACACACTCTCTCCTCACCCGGGCGGGAGAAGTTATTAAATGATTTTCCCCCCTCAAAAAAAAAGTAGCAGTGTACTTGTCTTATGGCTGCGATCTTAACATTTATAAATATAAATGATTTCCATTCGTTAGCCTCTCTAATACTCAAGAACGGTTGAACCAATTTAGCTAATTTTAGTTTTCAAATGTTTGTGGAAGTCCAGGGAAGGTTTAAAATGTGATACGATGTTTGCTGGGTCAGCTAGCGATAAATAAAACTGGTCCCTAACTTTGCTTCCGTTTGGTTAGATCTCCTTTTCAGTATTGTTCTTTTTTTACAGTAATAGCTACAGCACTGACTGAACAAGAAATAAGACAAGATTGGCAGTGGTTATTTGACAATGTGTGCCCGACTCTACATTCATTTGATACAGAAGAAGAAGTGACTGAGTTTGTCTGCTGCAAAATTAATTCTATTCTTGCAACGGAGCAAGAGATTTTCACTGAAGGTATGGTTATCATACTCTAGTTTAATGAATTTTCTAATAGCCTCTTATCTGTTGAAACACCGGGTCCCTGTATAAAATACATTATGGCCGCAACTTTCAACAGATAGGAGGATATTTTTTTTTACAATTTTAAAAATGGAACATCTTTTTATATATAATGATGAAAGTGTAGTGTAGCGTGTGGATTTTTTTAAACTGTTACGAACTGTATGTGGTAACCACTTGGCTGCCAAGTTTTTCTATCATTATAATTTATCATTTACCAATTAAGATATATTTATGCAAATATTTAAAACTGCATTTGTGGTAATGATGTTTGTTTATTTAATGTACTTAAAGTACCAATAGTGACCCTATTACTTGTTTCTTCAGTATTCATTAATTGTTCCATCAGAATTTAGTATAGTGCTGCTTAAATTCCAAGGCAGAAGCATTCCCATTTAAAATGTTTAGACAATTTAGTGGTAGACAATTAAATACAATTTGTGAGTGTTTTAATAATAAATATTCTACCATAACAATTATGTAGTAAAAAAATAATAATAGTAAATTAATTTTTGTTCTCTTTTTTTTAGACGAAGACTCGGTCACATACAAGAATGTGGACTATGAGTTTCACGAAAGGTTCCGCATGCCCAAAGATGAGAAACTTGTCTGCTATTACTCTTGTAGGTAAGTAATACTTCTATTCTTATTTTTAACAATATAAATTTCAATTAACAACAGTTTAAATTGATTGTATAGTGAACAGTAGGTCGACTTATTCCATTCTGTTATTGGATTTTCGACTTTATATTAAAACGATAAAGTTGAGAATCGAATAAAGAAATTTGGCAGGACAATTGATCTGCTGGCCAAACGAACAAACTGTTTTACAAGTGATTCATAGAATGCACTAACACAATTTTAGTGTTACAGACAAAGACTAAATCTAAAGTTAATTTTATGATACATGCCAGGCTAATGTGTGTGTGTCAATTATATTGCGATGCTATCTAAATAATCATTACATTTTTTTGTGTTCACGTTATAATGTTGAAGTTATAAATACAAAAGTGATTTTGGTTTGTTTTGTTATAAACAAGTTTAATGAATTTTGGCACTAAGATATCTCTTGTTCTCTGGAGGAGATAATTTTCCTTTGTCAGCGAAATAAAGAGGCAAAAACAACAGATCTTAACTTAAATGGTAGTTGAATGCGCTATCAACATGTTTCTGTGTCATATTTATCTTTAGTCAATCTATAGTGTGTTTAATTAATATATATTTATGAGCATACGTACTCCATCGTAGGCCGCATCATCGCTTACCACCAAGCGAGATAGTGGTTAAACGTCGCCCCATCAAATATATATAAAAAGGATAGTTTCTCAACCCTAGAGTGGGCGCGCTATGGGCATTTGCCACCCGCGTACGGAAAAACGGTACAAACAACAGCCCGATAGGCTTACACTTTTTAGTAGCTGCCTCCCGTATCGCTAGCAATGCGTGCTGAAAGGTTTCATGCTGTAAATGCGCTGTGGACTAATTGAGCAGAAGTTTGTTAACACCACACCGCGCCCACATACGTTTAACAAAAAGTCGCGCCCACACTAGTATTAAGGTTCACTGCTGAGCAAAGGCCTCTTCTCACATGGAGAAGGTTTGAGCATTAATTACCACGCTTGCTCATTGCGGGTTGGTAATTTCAAACTTATACTTAATTAGAAATTATAAGCCTAGGTTTCCTCACGATGTTTTCCTTCACCGTTTGTCAGTGGTGTCTGAATGATATTAGAAAGTACATATAATTCTGAAAAAGTCACATTGGTAGGTACTTGCCGTTGGTAGGTTTCGAACCCGCACCCTCATGCATGAGAAGCGGGCGTCTTAAACCTCCGGGCCACCACGGATTAAGGTTCTCTTTTCTTTAAAAATATCTAAAACTATATGTTTATTTCAGTTACTGGAAGGGAAAGATGCCCCGACAAGGTTGGATGTACCTCTCAGTGCACTACATGTGCTTCTACTCCTACATATTTGGACGGAAGACCTCCATAAAGATCCGTTGGGCAGACGTCACAGAATTAGCCAAAACGAACAGTCTCCTATTCCCGGATTCCATAAAAGTGGTGACCAGGGACGGAGAACATTACTTCACATTATTTCTGAGGAAAAATGAAACATTTGCTTTAATGCAACAGTTGGCCAATATTGCTATGAAACAGTAAGTACTTTGTTAGTTGTTAAATTGATTAGTTAGCATGAAAATAGAGATTAATGTATGTAGGTAGGTAACTCGAATCCATAACTAGGTTAATATAAGTGGCGTGACGACATCATTTCATTCTTAAAGGCAATTTATCGATATCGTCTATATTTTACCTACAAGCTAGTTTATGAACAATATACCTTTTCGTTCAGGGGAGATCATCCAATGACTTCTTCTACAAGTTACTCCTACTGACTAAAAACTACCCCGTTCGTACTCCTGCTTAGGACCGAACCCTCGGTAACCAGTAGGTTAGTGACAGTGACAAAGTATTGTCAATACATTCTTGGGCTCAACATATCATAAATTGTGCATTTTAAATACGCCATCGATAGCGAATAAATTACGTCATGGTATCTGGTTTTCCGCAATAGAAATTCAATATGTAGTAGGTAATGCCATGCTATTTGTAGAAGTTACTGTTTATCATCCCATTTGATCTAGTCATCTTGTGATTCTTACATAAAAGAGCTTTGCGTAATTACTGTTTTTTCTGTTTTTAATATTCTCCGTAATTTTTTAATTAGTTTGGATTTCGTATTATTCAAGATTTTTTGTAAAACATAGTGAAAAGGGCTCGCAAAATGGTATTTTTTTGGCCTTCAGGCTCGCAAAGTAAAAAACATGATGTTATGCATAAAATTAGTAGCCATTTAGTGTTCAATGTAATTTATCGCCGGACGATGAGACGGTGACACATAAGACTATAATTATCGATGAAAATTGACCTCTAACAATGCACAATAAAGCTCATTTTACTCCGAGTGTAACGATTTTCGTCTATACAAAGAGAGTATTGAATAGTCCACCTTTGCCGCAAGTCTCACGAGGGCAATAGACTTGACATTCAGTTTCAAGGGCAAATAGAGGACGAATTTAACCTTAATTAAGCGTAAGTGCTTTGTATTTAGTACCTAAGTACTGACATTACAATGCGTAGCCATGCACTGCGAGTTGGATTAAGATAAGCTGGTTGTTTGAAGAGTTACTCTTTGCTGAAGTGATTTACACTCCTACTTAGTATATGTCGTGTGCATTACGTTTACGTTGTAGGTACTATAAAGTACCAAGGCTCATACTTAGACGTGTACATTTTCAAATAGTCTCTCGCTGTCTCTAGTTCAAACTGACAGCAGTTTGTGATGGACTCAAACACTACTGAACGAAAGAACCAATGGGAATGCCACTGGTAGATAGAATAGGTTTTGTAGGCGGAAGGTATATAAAGGCTAATATCCTATTGGATTTGATCTTTGGACATGGGTCTGTGGACTAGTGTATTTTAGTTTTTTTATCGCATTATCTATTAATTTGTAATTGATACTATTGCGGAATCAATGTAGTTATCATCAGGTCACAGGGCAACAACATACAAAGCTACATATCTATACGTAGCTATAAATAAGCAAAATCATTTACTGCCACTTTATGTGTAACTAGCGCCTCGGCTTCACACGGGTGCAATATGCATGTATTATACATATAAACCTTCTTTAAGAATCACTCTATCTATAAAAAAAAAACTGCATCAAAATCCGTTGCGTAGTTTTAAAGATCTAAGCATACATAGGGACAGACAGACGGCGCGGAGGATAGCGACTTTGTTTAATAATATGTAGCGGGCTTGTTTGCAAACATAGGACATAAATGTAGACTCTTTCTCTCTCTCTCCTGCCTAGCAACTGAATTTTTACTGACATTTGGTATGCCAATAGTACTACTTTGTCCGGTTTAAGGACAAAAGGACCCACAGGACCAAAGAGTCATTGTACCAAAGTAGCTTCTGTTCTTTATAATATGATGTTCTGTGTCTTTGACTTTACAAAATGTACATGGATATAATTAGTGTAAAATGCTAATAAAAATGTGAATTTTGTAGATAAGATGAAAATAAAACCGATCGTCTGTTTGTCAGTCAGCTGTTATCAATAACCTGATATTCCAGCGGTTTAATTTTATTGATTAGTTCGTGTTGGTATTTATTGTTGTCCATTATGTAAAAATATACGTACATGGTATGTGACAAACTCATTTTTATAAAGAATAGTTGTAATTGTGAGATAGTAAGTAAATTAATCTACTAAATTTTCCTTCTCTTTATTTAATCAGAGGATTTGGACTTACCTATAGATTCTGATTTATTTAAAACTAAATGCATATGCACTCATACTTTTTTAAGAAACAACACAACAGATTATTATGTTATAGGTATTATGAAGCCAAGGATACATACCCTAGGGGACAATGGTAGCATCGCGCAATGTCTATCTATGTATCTATCTATCTTTAAAAAAACGTTGCCCCACACTAGGATTTTCTCCTGTGTCGTGGGTGCGTTTACAAACATACAAGTTCATATACACATGACACCCAGAGCCGGAACAACAATCTGTTGGTCACACAAAAAGTTGTACCGTGCTGGAATCGAACCCGCGACACGTTGCGCGGCAGCCAGTTGCCCAACTGCCCACCGCGCCAACCGTGCAGTCAACAAGCGACTGCCTTGTGAAACAAAACTTCGTGATGTCATCAGATATATCCGGAGAAGTTTCCAGAAGTCCCACGATATGTTGCCATTACATGTCGTGGCATATTTATCCCGTAGTGTATCCTTACCTTTAAGATACCAATCTACTATGATATATAATGATACTAGCGAACGGGCCCGGCTTCGCACGGGTGCAACAACATAACATAACACAACATCACGCCTTTTATCCCCGAAGGGGGGTAGGCAGAGGTGCACATTACAGCATTTAATGCCACTGTACAATGTAACACCCACTTTTCACCCTATCTATTAAAAAAATCGCATCAAAATCGTTGCGTAGGTTACCTAAGCATACATAGGGACAGACAGACAGCGGATAGTGACTTTTATACTATGTAGTGGCCATCAGACCGCCACAGATGGGGCCCAACAGGGCCGATGCCGATTCGGAGTCGCGGAGAACCTAACGGGTAACCGGGGCTCCGGCTCGACGTGCAGGAGAAGGAATGAGGTGGTTTTTAGTCAGTAAGAGTCTGACACTCCCTCCCGCCTCACCCAGGCGGGAGCAGTCATTCGATGATTTTCCCCCCTTAAAAAAACCTTGTAACATTTCATTCAATTGAAATAATCTTTACCTATTTTTACAGACTTATCGACGACAAGTCAGGATCCTTCAACATTGACAAGGATCTTCTGACGAAACTCAGCAAAAACGTACCGAAGAAACCATCGTTCTTGAAAAGAGATTTAGATGCAAGAAAGCAGTCTAACCTCTTCACTTTAAGGTTCAGATTGCCACAAAACGAAAAATTGGACGGCACGGAAGAATGTACCTTATGGACTCCTTATAATAAGAGACATAATTGGGGAAGGTTGTACCTATCGCAGAACTTCATTTGTTTTGAAAGTCGGGTGAGTAAAGTTATCTTAAGATTATCGATATTATATCGGCAATGGTCTTCTTTACATAATATAACACGACGCCATTTTATCCCCGAAGGGGAAGGCAGAGGTGCACATTTCGACACTTAATACCACTGTACAATGTAACACCCACTTTTCACTATTTATGTTATGAGTCCCATGTAATAGGGGGTGAGCCTATTGCCATATACCGGGCACATTTCCAGATTCCGTGCTACTACTGAGATTTTTTAAAACCCAGTAATACTTTGCCCGACCCGGGAATCGAACCCGAGACCCCTTGCCCGGCAGTCGCACTTGCGACCACTCGGCCAACGAGGCACTGAGAATAACATGACGTCACGTAATGACGTTATTCTCAGTGTTTAGCAAATGCAATGAATACATAAACGCAAAACTTTGTTGTTATAACATCAGTATAAACATCACCACATAATATATATAGAATCTGTCTAATGTCCAAATAGTATAAACTACAATTTTAAGTCGCGCTTAAGTATAGTTCTGTCACTACAAATTGTTTGTAAAATGATAGAGATGGCACGATATTTAAGTACTACTTAGAAGTGTTAAAATTTAGTAGTCTTTCAGTATTTGGGCGTCAGATTCTGAACGTAAAATTGCACCACCACCACTGCGCTATAGGCTCAAGCCTTTGATAAATATCAACAAAGTATACAATTAAAAAAACTTTAAAATCAAATTCAAAGAGGTGGGTATTTTTTTTTATTATTCTTATAAATGGTAATGGTACATGTACCTACCCAAATATTTGGGAGATATAAATTGGGAAGGAGAATTTTTGTCATAGCTGGTATCATTTTGCTCCGTGTAAACCGCATGCCGCACGCACACATGCAAGAAATTTTGGAACGTTATTTTTGTTGCTATTGTATGGTGACGCTCTATCTAGACATTATATTATTATAATCAAATGCTCAAGCTATGATACAAAGCAAACAATAATAGTTAAGGCATTTAACAGACGTTGACTCTATTATGCATTTAAAAGTAAAATATGATAAGATATTTAATCTTATCTGTGTTTAATTTAAGTAACGGTTTTTGCATAACATTCTTTGATCATTATTTTGTTCAAAATATTGGTTAGTAGAGGAAAATTTCAATGAATAATTGCATGAATTAATGGTTATTATTTAATGTAATAAAAAAGGTTTTTTTGAACAGTTATTTTGTCTGTAAATATAAAACCATTTAAATGTCCATCCATCATGAATACGGTAGTTGACAGGTAATCAAATTCAATACTTTTATTGAAATGTATAAAACGATACTATTCTATGAATTTTGTATTGGATCGCAACTTAGGACGTCGTCATCGTATTTCTGCGTCAAACAGCATACTTATTTCCTTAAAATTAGCGAGAAAAATCCAAAAGTAGGTAAATTGTCAAATCAATGGATGAGAGTATGATTAGTTTTTAATTATTTATTGCATTGCTAAGTTGAAACAATTTATTTTAAACCCAGGAAACTAGCCAATTGTAATGACTTCCGCGTTTGAAATTTGATCTCAATGTTTATCATGATTCTTAGTGACTTCCATATTTAAAATTTGTTACGCACACCTGTGTTCACGGTTAGTCTATGTAAATATGTACGTAGTGTGAAAAAACATAATTATATTATATGTTTCTTAATAAATGCAAAGCAACTGCAGCAAATTCAATAAATTGGATAATTTTCTTTGGTTATTTGCAAGATTTGTGTGGTTCCTCCACTTCCTAATATAAAAATTAATAGAAGAAATAAGTTTATAAGATCAATCTTCACCAGGCATCTGCCTTAAATACCTAAAGAAAATAAAGTAGGTCAGATAAGCAATTACTTTTTAATGACATGGCAACAAGGGAATCGCTACATGGTATTAAACAAAACCGCTTTTTGTCTGTCTCTATGTATGCTTAGATGTTAGAAACTACGCGACTGATTTTGATGCATTTTTAATGGATAATGTGATTCAAGAGGAAGGTTTATATAGCTAAATGTAGGTATTTTTATTTTTTTTATAACACAATGGAAATCCTCTTGGACTTCCCACGACGGGGCGGGTGAGGGAGGGGGGGGGAGGGGCTGCCGATCTCTTACTGGCTAAAACTATCAAGGTATTCTTTCTCTGTCTGTGGCCATGACCTGTGTTGCCCTTGAAGATTCACCGCACCTGATAGGCGTAGACCCACCTCTATGCTTGCGGCAGGTCTCACCAAATACCAAATACCTACAGACCTATATAACACAGTAGAAAAACACTAATAACCATGCGAAGCCGGGGCCGGTCGCTAGTAACTAAAATACTATATCCTTACTAATATTATAAATCGGAAAGTGAGTTTGTTTGTTTATTTGTTTGTTCCGCTTTAACGCCGTAACTACTGAACCGATTGCTTTGAATTTTTGCAGACGTAAAGTTAGAAGTCTGGATTAAAAATAATAGGGTAATTTTTATCCCGGAAAAATTTGGTATTCTCGAGAGAAAACGAAATTATTGGTATAGATGGCGCTGTGTGTATTAGCATATGTCACATAGGCTTTTTATCTTTTTGTGATGCGTGCGAAGCCGCGGGTAAAAGCTAGTATCAAATAATTAGTTATTTCTTGATAACATGGCAACAGGGGAATCCTGAATATCTTCCTTTGTTTATGAAATTACACATTTACAAATAGCAGATACATAAATACACAGATACACAGCCATTCAGTCATTCTATAACGTAATAATAGATAGACTAAGTACAATTGCATATATAATTATTATTATGTAATTATTTGTCTTCAACATTCATAAGTTTCGCGCAAATGTAGACCTTATGCTAAAGGAATAAGAGTTCTTATTATGCAATTGGTCTTCAATCTTCAATGGTTATAAGTGTGAGGTAAATCTAGACCGTATGCTAAAGGAATAAGGATTATTGACTCAAATGTAAATAGTAAGTTTATTTATTGTACTGGGTTCGTTATCATTACTGTTCTGAGTCAGTCTAGTTTACATAACCTTTGTTTTGGTATTTAGCTTGCTTTTCTTGTATATTTAATGTTTTTGTTAAGTTTATGCAAATCTTATCTTGGTCGGAAACTCTTGGATAGGTATATCTTAGACGATTTAATCTAGATTTTGAGTAATTTTGGTATTTAATCTATGTCATCTCCTCTTAACAAACCAACGAGGTACTGTTCGGGTAATACTGCGATTAAAAAATGAACACCACCAGAAACAGCAGAAGACATAATTTAATTATTATGGTTTCGGCTTACTCATGTAATTATTTGATGAGGAACTCGACTAGTTTCAAGCCATGCTAGTAGAGTTGGCCGAAAAATATAGGTAATAATAGAGATGATGACAGTGTATGAAAATTAAAAATCTAATTAGTCTGTCAATTAGGTAATGAAAAAATATTAGACAAGTGTTTTTTTTATTTTGTCGTATAAGAAAACAATACTTAGATAAAACGAATAAAAGTTTAGGACTATGAGGTAGCTACGTCATTTTAGAGTAGGTATAAATCGTACTCAAAAATGACGTCGTGCGATATTTCAAATCAATATATTTTCGAAACTATTAGTTTTCATAAGAAATTAAAATACGTGTCTAATGTTTTAAATAATGTACCTACCAGACGGACATTAAAATAAAACTTAGTCATCTATCATAAAAACAGAAAACATAATTTAATTTTGCGTTGATTACTTTGTCCTGTTCGCTAACTGCCTTAAGTTCCGAACCGATAAGATCACTAACCCAGTTGAAGTTGGAAAAAATCGAATTCAGTTGACGTATCTCTTATAGTTTTTCATTTCTTTCTAGGTCCGCAATCTAGTCCGTCTTAATATACCTCTCCGCAATGTCCATCAAGTGGAGCGGGCGGACTCTGGTGGAACTGGCAGCTCCTCGGGAGACTCTGGGAGCATCCTCATCACCACGGCACACCACACCAGCTTCTTATTCGGAAATATCTCAGACAGGGACTTCTTAGTCCATAAGATATCCGAACTTCTTGCTAAACTGCCAAAGTAAGTTCCTGTTCAGTTCTCTGCATGTAAAACTAACTATGTGAAATGTATCTGGATTTAATTAATCTGGGTTCTTTTTTCTAGAATGTGAGTATGAATTCTATTTTCTCTGCCTATATGCTTCTGTTTTATGATTCATAATACGACTAATATCTTAAACCTCATCAACAAAAACATTTATTTTACCAATGCATAATTAAAGTGCTCTAATCATGTTATGTGTTCTCTTTTCAGCTGTCTTTGCATTTTGTCTTTAACAGGGAGCTTCTAACCCAGCATGTTCCAGACTCTGCTAACATCGGTTTTCAACTTTGGGATTTTATTGTTAAGGTTCAGTTTTCCATTTACTAATTCAAATGCGTGAATATGCAGTGATGTGTACAGGGAGAAGGCGACCAAGGTGCTGGCGCAGTCTGAAGTCGAAGGTTGGACTCCGCAGCCGCCTCTGATGACACTCTTCAGGACTCACCAAACGTCACCTATAAAGCAAATTCAGCAAAAGAAGGTTAGTAAGTTCTCTAGATGTTTGATGAGTTTTCTTTACAAAAAATAAAGCGCAATTAGCGCAAATTTTTGCGTGATTTGCGCAAAAGTTTGCGCACTACTTTGCATATTTGATAAGTCAGTATATTAGCTACCTGTATTAAGCAATTAATGTTTCAAGTATTGTTAATTAGTATAAATATAAAGGAAATATGAATTTCTTAGGAAAAACAATGGGAGGATCACATGGCAGAAGTAGGCCGCGGCGTCAGTATGTACCAAACAACGGAAGGGAGTGAACTAGTCGTGAATGGCATCCCAGAGCTCTTAAGAGGAGAACTATGGAGCGTCTTCTCAGGCTCTATACTCCAGAAAGCTCAAAACAAAGGATTGTATGAACGGCTGGTGAACAAAGCTCTTTCTACAAAGACCCAAGCTAATGATGAAATTGAAAGGGACTTGCATCGGTCTTTGCCTGAACACAGAGCCTTCCAAAATGATGTTGGTAAGTCGTAATTTTATTTTTAAAATATAAATCTTGCATAAATTCCACTGTAATATTATTCTATATCGATTATTTCACTACCTTTTCAGGAATCTCAGCACTTCGCCGTGTCTTATGCGCTTACGCGTTAAAAAACCCACAAATAGGGTACTGTCAAGCGATGAACATTGTTGCTTCCGTACTACTAATATACTGCCCCGAAGAACAGGCGTTTTGGCTTTTGGCGACCATCTGTGAAACCTTATTACCTGATTACTACAATACTAGGGTAGTTGGTGCTTTGGTAAGTTTCATTTAAGTTATTTTATTCTTTAAACTGTCAAACACCACGCGGTCATCGGTGACCGCAATCTATTGTTCTTTAATTGTGTCTATAATGACGGTACTCAAAGAGTTAAAACTTAGTCGTGACCGTATCGTGTGTTAAATATTTATCTCTTCAATAAGGTAGGAAATTTTTAAGCATTGCTTAACATGATAAACAATTTTAAAACACGACTCCTCGTGCTAGATGTCGCTACTATAGATTATGGCTAACGTGGACTGCAGTAATTGGAATTGCGTACTAAAAAAACGTTGAACATTTTAGTCCCTTTAGAAGGCTAAACGTCACATCTAGATAACGATCAAACCAAAATGGAGGTTTTTGGAACAAACAAGAAACTCCATTCATTTAAATATCAAGTTAATTTATTAAGAGCAGTGGGTGATCTTGGTTATATTTTTTTATTTCTCTTCTAGGTGGATCAAGGTGTATTAGAAGAATTAACAGAGGTTCATCTACCAGAGCTTCATGCGAAACTCGATGAGTTGGGCATGATGAAGATGATCTCCCTATCTTGGTTCCTGACCCTCTTCATCAGTGTGATGCCCTACGAGTGCGCTGTCAACGTCATGGATTGCTTCTTCTATGATGGCGCTAAAGTTATTTTCCAGGTTTGTTATTCATTGTTTTTCAAGCGGACTTGGACCGGTTTTGGACCGGGAATTAGAATATAACTCAATTTAATTCACATATTTAAAACATTGAAATTGATATAAAGTAATTATAATGAAAAACACTACTACTGTTTAACATTTTCTTAGGTAACCCTCACTATACTCGACATAAACCGCGAAAAGCTCCTGAAGTGTACTGAAGACGGTCAGGCCATGCAGGTCCTGAACGATTACCTCCAAGGCATCTACAATGAGGAAGCCATGGCGCTATCAACTGAACCACGAACTGCTGAAAAGGTATAATTACTTGCAAATATTTTAAGGCTATTTTACTAGTTTCTGGCATTTGTCAAGTTCTCCTTGAAAAACAAAGAGGTATGCATTGCCAAGTAGTTGTTCCTATCACTCAACCAAGTCGGACAGATGCCATCACATCCGAACGATGGTGGCGAGAACATTCTACTGGACATCATCGAATTACTGAAGACGACCGTCCCGGATGACGTACCGGATTTTGTGGCTAAAGAGCTGCAGAAACTTCCTCACGTCACTTTCGATTACATTGATGTCATCAAGGAGGATATGTCCTTGAAGGTGAGATTGGTTGAATTGAAGAATTATACTTCGAGCTAATCTAACGTTGTTACGCGATGGTGGTCTGATAAAATTTGATCTATGTCGCAGTTGTATCCGAATCATGTTCCGGTGATCGCTTTGTGCCTTCAATTCCAGTGCCACTAGAAATTTGGACGTCGAGATCCAAGGATCCCTATTCTATATGTTTAGAATCGTCGCGATGACAAATTAAATATGACAAAAAATATACTCGTCGATTTCAAACGTCTTCTGTTTTTTTCGTCGGTTAAAAAAGGACAAACAGAGTCGCTCTTTCGTTTAATTTCGAGAGTTTAGAAGTACTGTTATCAACCACAAATAGCAGGGTGCGTTGAAGAATACTTGCGATATATACGACCCAATCAAAGTGAAGAAAAATAAGCTTTTCCATCGCAGCTAGTACGCAACAACCTGCTATATCGGGATGTAGCAGTTCTGCTTAGGATACAACTGTATTTGTTCTGATTACTCCACTTTACGAAGTTAGAAGAACATGATATAGATCTTGCCGGTGAAGAACAAATGAGCCTGAAGGAGAAATTAGAGGCGTGTCATAACATTAATTTTAAACAGTTTGGTGTGCGCGTTCCGACTTTGTAGATGTAACCTTCTTTAAGCGCTTTCAAGACTCAAGAGACAGGCGAAAATCTTAATGTTATTCAACTATTTACAAAGCTTTTATCTGCTACCTACTTCTTTCTGTTATATAGAAAAGAAGTAAGATTGTCCTAAAATGCAGTAGCGACATGACGACAGTCATATCAATGATAACAATCCATAATTTAAAGCTTTTGAGATAGAACGTGTCCAATTCTTGTTAATTCTTTTTGCTATCTCACTAAATTAGTACTAGTATTTTGTAAATACACAACGTGAAATCTATTTCATTTTCATCCCAAAGTAAAATGGTTCTGTCTTGGTAATACAATACTTTAACAAATAAATAAAATGTTTAAAACAAAAAATAACTGGTGTACTATTGCAAAAAGCAAACTTTGAAAGCGCATAGATTAACTCATAGTACATTATGAAAACGTCGCTCCATGTAATTCTCGAAGAAGTATTTTCTCGTCGGGTGGCACGTGCGATGCGAATAGTGCCTACTTTGCGTGTAGTGTTTCATGTCGTATTTCCATGAAAATTCTTTTTTAAACTATAAAAAGACATCATTATTTTTATTTTATACATCGAAAGTACTCCTTTTAGCAAGAATATATTTCACGGTGTATACACTCTTTTTTTTCATAATCAAACAATAATTCTTTTCTATATTAATATTACCATATAAATATCTCTATTTCAGACTATAAAAATCCAAGAGCTGATATACCAGTCGTACCGGTCCTACGGCAGTAGTGTTTCTAACGAGAATATCGAGCACTTGCGACTGAAGCATCGTTTGAAGGTCGTCAGACAACTGGAGGACAGTCTTGAGAAGAACACGCTTCGAGCTCTGCTGCAGGACAAGTTGCTCGAATTGAATGAGTTGCAGGCAAGTTTTCTTTTTTATATCTATCGTGAGACATCCTTACTATTATAAATGGGAAAGTGAGTTTGTTTGTTTGTTTGTTTGTTCCGCTTTCACGCCGTAACTTCTAAACCGATTGCTTTGAATTTTTGCAGACGTAAAATTAGAAGTCCGGATTAAATAATAAGGTACTTTTTGTCCCGGAAAATTTTAGTATTCCCGAGGGAAAACAAAAGAATTGGTATAGATGGCGCTGTGTGTATTGGTATAGGCTACTTTTATCCTTTTGTGGCGCGAGCGAGGCCGCGGGTAAAAGCTAGTACTGAATAAACTAAAAATAACGAGTTACGTAAATATACTGAGAAAAGCTCTACTAGTTTTGAGTTACAGAGGGGCTCTTCCTCATGAGCAACGTGCGCGGTCGCGGCGACGTCCCGCAGGCTACTGAAGAGTCCCTCTTTGGCTCGAAATTAGTAGAGCTTTTCTCAGTATATTTACAAGAGTACCTTGTAATTTTTAGTAAAAGTTTTCATCAATTTAAGAAAAAAAAAACAGCTAAGTAAATGTGGTCAAAGTATTCACAAATAGCTAAAATCCATACAGCAGTTTTAGTATAATAATACTTTGTACATAGCTCGCTTATATTTCTCCTAGCGGAAATATATTGCGGTTTTAGCAGGTTGTTTCCCCATTTTCGATGTTATAGAATTTAATTGTTTTTGAGAACAAAACTACCGACATAATGGTTAGTGGTTTAGTACCTCTATTTGCGCAATCCAAAGTAAAGTTTCTTATGATAAACTCTAAATTTCTTATATCACATTTTTGATTATTTTATGAAACCCAATAATTAATACTTTTAGCAGGCAGAGATATGCTATAACAATTTTAAAAGATTGTAACTAGAAACGTAGTCTTTATCTCGTCAATTATGAGTTTTTCTATATATTTTCTAGGAATTACTAAGCGCTATCCGCGAAGAGTTACTCTGGGCCAAGCGCGTACCTTGCGAGCGGTTGGAAGCTCCCTACGAGTCCTACCGGCTAGATTACACCCAGTTCAAGACTTTGTTCTGTGCTTTGTCGCCCTGGGCCAAAGGGGACTTCGCTGAGGCTATCACCGCGAGAATGTTTAAGGTAAGTAATCACATATAAACATATTTGTCATACCAATTTCAAATAGCAAAGGATTATGTATTATTGTATTGCTTCTTGCGGTTTTGAAAACACTCCCTACATATTTTTTTATAAATGATAGGACATTTATCTTGGTCAAATGTACCTTCACAATTATTCAACCCTTTGTTTTAAAAATCAAGGAGGGACATGTTTTTCTAATAACATCAAAGTGTGAAATCACCTTCGTAGAGACGTTATGAAGATTTTAAACTTATAATTGCTGTCATTTTTAAATATGTGATTATATTACAGTTGATGGACTACGACGACGACGGGATAGTAAGCGCGCGCGGCCTGAGCGTGGCGCTAGGGCTGTCGGTCCGCGCGGAGGCGGCGCGGCGCCTGCGCGCGCTGTACGCCGCGCACGCGCCGCCCCTACTGCCGCGCCGGGACCTCATGCCCACGCACTTCACCGACACGGGAGAGGAACTCGCTGCTGACGCTATATCGTTCTTTGATAGGTAACTTCACATTATACATACTTTATAAACTTTGGGAATCACTTAAACGTTGCAGGCGCTTCTTTTTTTTATTATTATCTATGGTTTTAGGGACTTTTCGTGTAGGAACATGTCAGCCCCGTTGCAGGCGGTTCTACAAAATCTCTTGTTACAATTTGGGTCTAGCCCAGACCTAGAAGGAAATTGAAAATGTTTTTTTTTTCTTTTTTAATAAGGAACAGAAAGAAACGAAAACTAATATTTTCTTTATTATTTAAAAAACGTTGCCCCACACTAGAATTTTCTTCTGTTGCGTGGGTGCTTTCACAAACATACAAGTTCACATACACATCACACCCAGACCTGAAACAGCAATCTGTGGATTACACAAAGATTTGTTCCGTGCGGGAATTGAACCATCGACACGTTGAAGCTTACATGCCAGTTGCCCAGCCGCCGCGCCAACCATGCAGCCAATTTTATTGGTTAATTGTACATTACACGTAATATTCTATGTTATACATATTATAATAATAGTTAGCATTGTTACATACATACCTATGAGGTGTGCAATAGTTTGTGATACTTTAGGTTATTCTAAATTCATATTTTATTAATTTGTGATCTTTATTCGCAAAATTGTGTATTACAAGAAATGTATAATTATGAAGTATTTACTAGTTTAATAATATCAAAAAATTGAAAAAACCTGTTTTTGTAATAACTTTCGTGAGGTATACTAAATTAACTAAAATCGCGGATTACTCACGTAAATATACTGAGAAAAGCTCTACTAGTTTCAAACCACAGAGGGGTTCTTGCTCATGAGCTATGTGCGCGGTCGCGGTTAATTTAAAAACCTCTTTCTTTAAAAAAAACAATAAAATAGTGTCAATAATGGGTTGTGTATTATACTTACAGTGCTGATGACGAGGTGATACCTGAACCAGGTCCACTGCAGCGCTCCATAAGCGAAGTATGTGGCGATGGCACTCCGATGGACAAGAGTGACTCGGAAACCAGCCAAATAGGTAAGTGGAGTGAGAATGTTAATTTTATATTTTGTCATTACATCCTTTTTTCATCTACTTTCAACAAATTTTGGTACAATAATTGTTTTTGAATTTTAAATTTTAATCATATTTTTGGTTAAAACTTTTACAAGGTTAGATTGTATTGTTGTCCTAGAGTTTCAACTGTAACCTCTTGTCACGGGGCATATGAGACACAATAGAAAACACATTGTGTCTCGCGTATATCTACGTTACCATACCATATTATGCATACCAGGGATTAAGATGCAAAGAAGAATTAAAAACTTGTTATATGCAAATCAAATTCAGTTGCAGAGAAGTAACCCGACGTGTTAATATCGATATTCATTGTTCAGGCCCAACGTACTTCACCGTTGAAAGCGTCCGTGCCTGTGGACTGGCGGGGCTGGCCAGCGGCGCCAGTACGCCGGGCGCGGGGGGTGCGGGGGGCGCGGGGGGCGGCGCTCCCCCCCTGCCGCGCGACCACTTCCTGCAGCTGCTGGCCGTGCTGCACGACCTCACGCAGTCGCGGCCACTGGTCTACGAGGCCGTCGTACTCGCTGGTACGTACATAATCTTCAATACTTGTATAACCATGGACGGCTATATAGGCTATTCTGTAATTTTTAATTCAGAAGTTTGAAGTGAAGTCGATCGCGGTACGCCTTGTCATTGGTTTTGAGAATAATTTCGACCAATGACGGGCGAAAATGCCTACTACTGCATACTAAACGCCTTAATCAAAAATAAATAATGTCGACTGATCAATACAATAAAATATTTAAAAATAATCACACTTTCATTCATTCATTTTTTGACTACCATAATTCTAGTATTTTTCCAGCAATTTTTTAAGAAATGTGTATTGCTGCTGTTTGACGCCATAAAAACGTGACGTCACATTACACAATCTCATAGAAAACTCTCGTTTTAACAGTTCGAAAAAAGTATTGAATTTGACTAATTGGCAAATAACCAGTTATTGAATAGCTAAGCAGCTCTTGAAAGTCATTAGAGTCCGCTAGACTATACCTCTAAAACAGAGGTTTCCCAAAATCTCAACCCTTGGCTAGCTGGTTGGAGATCGCACTAAAAGTCCAGATTTATCAGGTTGCTGCTGCCTAGTGTATCTGGCATTCTCTGATAAACCTGAACCTTTTAAACTGCTATGTCCGACCCGCCTACAAAGCGTGGAGTCTATGGCAAACCAATAAACTGTCATGGGCTGTTGAAATAATGAATAGTTAATGAATACACCATTAATGTACAAGCGTGGGAGAGCCTTGCTTCGGCACGAATGGGCCGGCTCGACCGGAGTGATACCACGGCTTCACAGAAAACCGACGTCAAACAACGCTTTGTGTTTCGTCGTGTGAATGAGGTTACCGGAGGCCCAATTACCCCCCTCCCTAATCCCCATCTCCCGAATCCCCGAATCTTCCACAATCCTCAAATTCCCAATTCCCAAAAGGTCGGTAAAGCACTTGTAACGCCTTGGTGTTTCGAGTGTCCATGGGCGGCGCCGATTGCTTACCATCAGGTGATCCGTCTGCTCGTTAACCGGCTTATGGTATAAAAAAATGTAGTTTAAAATGTATTCTTATTACATGTACTTATTAATTATGTGTACTAGGTACTCTCCTCCTACAACTGGGTGAACTGAATCACCGCCCGCAACTGGACCGCGAGATGTCACAAGACAGCTTGTTCTTAGCCGCAGCCGCTAAGCAACCAGAAGTGCAGGTAAATAAAACATTCTTAGGTTGTCTATTTCCTACGTAATGCATGTCATGGTGTCATTGAAGCTGTTTTCGTTTATTTAACTTATTATGTAAAGCTGAAGAGTTTTTGTTTGTTCGTATATTGTTATTACGCATATGAATATTTTCATTAACATTCTTTTCATTTGTACAATATTTACGAAATATTGTCGTGGTTGCCCGGAGGTTTAAAACGCCTATTTTTCCTGGTTCAAAACCTACCAGCAGGAAGTACCAATGCGACTTTTTCCGAGTTATATGTACTTTCTACAGTGGCGTGCACAGATTTTCGAGACAGGGTAGGCAACTAAATATCGTATGATTAAAGCCCTCCCCCCCGGTCATACAATCATACTCCTACAAGACAGGTACATGTATAGAATACATTTTGTTGAAAAGTGCGTTCAAGAATATTGTGGTTTATTCTTTCGCCAAATTACATACACTGACATCTCGCGTATTTTTTGTAAAGTACTACATCAGCTATCGAATAAGCCAACAAAACTTGCAAATAATGAAGCATCTATTTATTATACTAATAATAAATCATAAATTTGATGAACCAAATTCAATTATCAAATTGCTAAATAATCTATTCAAAATCATAATTACGAATTTAAGAACGTAGGTACCTACCAACAAACAAAACAACAACAAGCGCGGCTGGCTGCGGCCGAGCCGAGTATAAGCGGTACATTTGTTATTACATTACATAATTTTTAATAAATAATATGTAAATCAAAAAACCGAGGTATAAGTTGATATTTTTAAGAATTATCAATCAATAAAACAAGAACATCATATAAAGATCCATTAAGTACCTATATTTACATTACTACCTTTGACTTGGGTCAATTCTCGTAACTTGAGTTCTGCCTATGGTCATTACCTGAATCTAGTCGTTATAGGACAATTTTTTGCGAAAATTACTGTTTTTAACTTTAAACAAACACAAAAAATTACCTATTATCAACACAAACTTCACAATCGAATAATATACTAGACACTGATAAACAAATACACTATTTGAAAAACCGACACATATATTTTACTACTTCTACACATATTTATGCAACTTTATGTTTAAAACTAATTCCTTATAATTTAAACGAAAACATAAACAAAGCGATCGCACATCACATGAAAACAATATGGCCGAAAACATTGGAAAGTCATTACCCATCGTAGTCAATTGAGTGTTTATTATAAAAAAATTATAGCTAAAACATTAAGGCAACACAGTGTTTAATTATAAAAAAAACAAAACGTTAATTTACATAAGTCAAATGGAATTGCATCATTGTCTTATTATTATTTTCCAATAAGAAACATTCGTTGATAATAATTTGAAACTTTGAGTAGCGGCAACTTGACGTTTCGATAACTTCCTTTTAACTTTTAAAATAATAAAGTCAACTCCTCGTTTAAAGTTTCTATAAAGCGACAACGCGTAAAAATGTTAAGATTTAATTAAAACACCTGAAACATATTTTTTTAGTATGCATAATTATAAAAAGACATTCCATTATACCGAACGCGTTCAGAAGTTTTAACAAAAAATTCAATAGATGGCGCAGATTCACAAATTTCATCAAGTCCGGCTAGATTGAATCGTGTAATAATTTTTTGCGTTTATGAATGGTTATTCTGTGCTGTGACCATAGTCACGTGACCTTCACGCATGCGCGTTGCATACTTTTTGTGACGTCACAACCACCAACCAAGATTTAAGGAATAGCAGCGCATGCGTGGTGCGTGCGGCGCGCATTCATTGCTTTACAAAGGCGTGCGGTCCGTGTATAGTATATGTGAATGTATATTTATGTTAGCCGTTTTTTTACAAACTTTTATTATATTATTGAATCTTAATAAACGCGTTAGTACATTTTATGTCAAGCAAAGCCTATTTGCCTATATGGACTGCACGCCACTGACTTTCTAAGATTATTTTAGACACTACCGACCAACGGTGAAGGAAAACATCGTGAGGAAACCTAGGCTTATAATTTCTAATCAATAGTTTGAAATTACCAATCCGCATTGAGCAAGCGTGGTGATTAATGCTCAAACCTTCTCAGAGTGAGAAGAGGCCTTGCTCAGCAGTACCCACTTTATAGGCTGTTGATGTTGATAGTTTTAGCGAAGAGGTTGTGTTTTAATTACAAGTTTAATTCCAGTTGGATCCCAACGGCAACACAACAGAACCGGAGCCAGAAATCAGAAAGCCATCCCCGTCTCCTTCCAAAGAGACAGAACCAGAAGGCGTCTGGTCTATCACATTAGAACAGTTCCTAGCCACCATGCTATCTCAACCAGCTCTTGAGGAGTTCTTCAATGAGAAGGTGTCTATATTACCAGAGTTGGAACTGCTTAGGCAAAGGGATAGGCTGCAGTCGATGTCATAGCTGATGGAAATAGCCGGGTTGCTTGGCATAAGTCTTTAGTTCCAGGCACCCCTGCTTTAAAAGGTATGTCGTATGATCATGGTATTTGTATTTGTGTATGTGTTAAATAATGCCTGCTGTTTTATAGTCATTTGAAATTGGTAAATACCTAAGATGGGTCTTAAATTAAAATTCTCAGTAGTAGCACGGAGTCTGGAATTGTGACCCGGTATATGGCAATAGGCTCATCCCCTATTACATGGGACTCATAACATAAATAGTGAAAAGTGGGTGTTACATTGTACAGTGGCATAATGTGCACCTCTACCTACCCCTTCGGGGATAAAAGGCGTGATGTTATGTTATGTTATGGGTCTTAAATTAATATAATAATATTTATTTAAGACATCAAAGATCCCCTGTGTTAGTAAAATATGAAATATCTTAACAAATATATTCGTAAGCACATTAAACAGACAAAAACAATATAGAAAACAAATACACACACAGACACATACAATATGTTAGTAATAAACAGGCATACTAACAACTCGACAGTATTGGAACTAGCCCGTACTCTGTGTAGTGCTCCGGCTCGATAATTATACGTATCATACACACGCCAGCTTATCAAGTTACCTCAAACTGGTTAATATCTTAGATTTTGAACTTTGTTACAGAATGATAAAGTTGGGAATGTATTAGCAAAGCAAATAACTGTTTGTAGTAGCTTGATGTACTGGCTGTTCATAAAGTTAAAGTCAAAGCATTCATTTCAACTAAATCATAAATAGGTACTTTTGTCCACAACAAATAAAGAAATAAATAAATAATAGTCTAGTTGTGTCGACCCATTTAGTATATTTGTAAAATATAAACACACATGTTCCATGTAAAAACAAACCAGCAGTGTTTATCTATAATAGAATGTTTTTGATCAATACAAATGTTATTTGTATATTTTTTTAACCGAAGCAGGCATTGTTTAACGTTGCATAGAGTTCAACGAAAAAAGTTCGGTCATATTGAAAAAACCGATATGTAAAATCAGTAAAATCGAAACTATTTTCAGTAATATTCGGTGGTACTTAAGAAAGAGTTACGATTTTGTCTAAATAGTAACTTTAAAAATAATAACAAATCAGTATATTTAATTGCATCATGTCGTTTTGGTGGAATCACCAAGATGACCTTTTAAAAAGAAATTAGTGTTGCATTACATGTATGCACCTTTGCTATGTACCACGGCTACATAATCTCGCTTGTTTCTATGTAAACATTGTATATAACGCTTAGTTATAAGTGTAGATACCGCAAAAAACTAACGAACGAAAAAAATAAAAATATAAATCGAAATATAAATAAAACTCTTTGTAAAAGTCTAGTAACTTCCAAAGACCAATCTAGATTATTATAGATGCTTGTACCCTTAAACTACGATTGATGTAAAAAGCCTTGTCGGTCATTTTAAAATGTAATTGCAGTAAGAAATTCATTAATCGGTTTTAGACTGATAAAATAATGAGTTTGCCTGTGACTATTTAAAGAACTAGATCCTGGAGTCTTTTAGGAGTTAATCATGACAACAAAACTCCTTTACGTCACATTGTCAGCTAAAAAAATCAGTCGCTAACTGGAATCGATGTTAAACTTCATTAGATTTTCAAACTTACCTTTTTGTAATAAAGCTGAAAATCTTTTAATGACATTGACGACTTAGCGACCGGCCTTAACAATTTCTATACTGCAAGACCCGGTCGTAATGTCAAGAGAAAATTTTAAACTATGTAGAATTGTAGAACAATCTTATTGTTGATAAAATGCTTGTTTATTAACCATTAAAATAGGTATTCGTGATGTTCAGTATACATTCCATATTATAAATATTCTGATAATAATATTATCAGTTCACTGAGGAATTGGTTCAAAATATTATTTGTTTATGTAAACATTGGTACTTACTTGTATTTGGTTCCTTTTCTTGATAGCAAAAATGGACGGGATAAATTATAATTTGTCGTAAACATCTATTTTTGAGGTGAAGATGCACGCTACTACGTGTGTGTACGCTGTACGGACCTACGATTTAACTGTACAGTTCGACTGTACAGTTAAAACGGATGGTGTGTAGCGTGTATTATGGTGTAGTAGACTACTTTTTACAAAAAATAACTTTTTGCTTTCGGAAAATCAACTAAAAGTAATAGATAATAAAGTCCACGCGAATAATCAGTCGCTTGTATATTTCTTTTGTCTCCTATTCCTCGGTAGCTGTACCTATTTAGTATATTTTAATGTAATACACATAGCCATATTATTTTTAAGTTAGTCTAACCTAATCTAGTTACTAAACCTATGTACCTAATCTATGCTATGTATTTACAGATTTCAATAAATATAAAAATCTAGATTTAGTACAAAATTAGCATTTCTTTATAGTATAATATAGTAACTACTAATATAATATTATGTATCTTGTTTTCTTTTTCATTTATTATACAGGTGTTATAGAATACGTTGGTGATGTTTTAAACTAAAGTTCTATGCTAATAATGTTAAGTTATGGAAGGCTACTGCCACGCTAATCGAAAATGGTATTAATGCAAGTATGAATAACGTTTATTTTGGAACCACTTGTTTCTACTAACGTCTGCATCTTCATAGGGACTGCCGTAATTTACTAACGTCGATAAATTCTAAACATTTATAACTTCCTTAACCGCTTTTACTAATCTCTCCTAAATTTTAACCTAAGATAGGTGATACTTAATGACTTTTTGGTTTGCGCCAACTTATAAGTGACACCTGACAGTAAAGGGTTAGTTTAGGAGCTCTTTCAAGTTAAGCAACTCTTAGTTAAGATATGGTTTAGAAGTGGTTTGTGAAAACATCTAGGTATAATTATCATAGGAAATTGTAGTTTAAATCATCACAAACGATTTCAACAACACTGTATGTGGCTTCGCTTCCAAATAAATTATTCTTAACCGCTTTTAAAGCAATATACTTTCAGACGTGTTACATTTACAATAAGGTTTAAAATTAAATGTATGTGTATATAAACAGTGCCTATGTAGTAGACAGGTGTACTGTGCTTCAATGATTGGTGCTTAGCAGGTTAAAGTGCTTGAATATATCGAGTTTTAAGGAAATTGTATACTTTTTCCCATCGCATAACCAAGCTTATTCCATACAAATGTAATCTCTATATATTGGAGATAAGGTCTATAATGGAGTGGATAAGAGAGGACTTCGGTGTTCTCTGGGCTAATTAGAAGTATGTGTTGGATATAACTACATTCATAGAGGTATTGTATATAGAACTGGAAAACCAGTCTATCCTTTGCTTGAGTTAAAAGAGGGGGATTCACCCCTCGAATTCCATTATCCCCCTTTTACGGTACGGTAATAGTGACTGCACGATTGGCGCGGTGGCTAGGCTAGGCAAGCGGCTGCTGCACAACGTGTAGTGGGTTCGATTCTCTCATGGAGCAACTCTTTGTGATCCACAAATTGTTGTTTCGGTTCTGGGTGTCATGTGTATGTCAACTTGTATGTTTTTAAACGCACCTACGACACATGAGAAAACCCTAGTAGGGGCAACGTTGTGTTAAAAAAAATACCTCTATGCATGTATTTCCTCGCTATAAGTATATACTGTATAAATAATACCCAAAGTATAAAAAATAATCATATTATTAAACTAGATTAACAGATTGCTTACAAAGTATAATGGCTTTATTAAAACAAACACTTTAACAAAAAGATACAATTAGATATATTTTTCTCAAGTAAATTTTGGCGCTGAGACGCTTTAACAAATTTTGAAAATAAGCTGTTCGTGAATAATGTAAGATAATTGATATTAATCTATGATGTCCGTTTTCACTAAACCCTAATCTAAGATAGGTGACACTTAGCAGCATTTTGGCTTAGACACCTAATGTATGGAGTTAGTTTACCTAAATAACTGTTAGATAAGAGATCATTTTAGGGTGGTTAGTGGAAAAGGTCATTAAAACAGCGCAGGTCCCTATCATGGCATTTAAACATTAGTCGAACGAATTAATAGTAAGTTTGACACTAGAATTCGAAAAATTACATCAAAAATATGTCAAGTATGTCCAATCGACAAGATGGTCGACCATCATTCATTAGTCGATATTTGCATGCAATCGGCGCGACCGAGGAAAAGTTTGCCTCAGGATTTTGTTAAATAGTGTACTAGCGAATAATTCGCCGATAGTACATTGACTTCTATTTGCTCGTTCGACTACCGTTTAAATACCTAGAGGCCTGATTATACATAGAAATATAGCTATACATTATATACTAAATAAGCAATATCGTCATAAACGTGTATATTAATCATATTTATTTTTGTAATCACGATATTTTATTCATAATAGTACTATTGTGAATGAATTAACGAATTTTTGGGTACAATTTATAAAAGCTTTTAGGTACAGTCGATTGCAGGAGAGGGCCGTCCTTGACACTTTGATTTTTGTATCCTAATTTTTTTTAATACTCTTCTGTGTAAGACTGTACAGCAAAATGTTTGACAATACAATGTTGTAAACACAATGTTTAGCCCTCTGCTTCGCTTGGACTGTCCAGGATTTGAGATTTTTCTAGAAAGCTGTGCTATTTTGTATTATTTCATAACTCTCTGTTATAAGTTGAAGCACAAAATGCTATATTATAGTATGTATATTTTAATTTGTAAGTTCCCTATGTCCATGTAAGTAGCGATATATGATTTATAATTCTTCATTGAATACACTTGTTTGACGTTATACATTGTTTTTATTTACATTTAGACATATGTATGTAACTATGTTATGTACATATGTATAGAATAGACCGACCTACTCCTTTCTGCCGTCGCGGAGAACCTAACGGGTAACCGGGGCTCCGGCTCGACGTGCAGGAGAAGGAACGGGGTGGTTTTTAGTCAGTAAGAGTCTGACACTCCCTTCCGCCTCACCCAGGTGGGAGCAGTCATTCGATGATTTTCCCCCCTTAAAAAAAAAAACTCCTTTCTGCTAACTTTATTGTTTTGATATAAACTCAAAAAACCAATTTCTATCGTAATTAAGGAATGTAATAAAATAAATGCATTAGTAGGTTAATTATTATGTTTTCGGGTTACTCACGTAACTGTTTTACGAGGAACTCGACTAGTTTCAAGCCATGTTAGAGGCTCATATTCATAAGCAGCATTCCGCAATCCGCGACGCGGCGCCGGCAACTTACGCACTGCTACAGTCGCCACGTAAGACGGCTTGAAACAAGTCGAGTTCCTTGTCAAACAGTTACGTGAGCAAGCCGAAAACACAATAATTAATTTAGTATATCTCACGAAACTTTTAATATTAATATTGGGAGGTATATTACTATAAAAATATACACTAACCATTAACGGCTTAACCTTTTTAATGCCGGTTTATGAGACATTATAGAAAAAATATTGTGTCTCGCCTAGATCTGTGCTGCGGCACATCACGGGTTAAATAAAAACACAGTAATTCTTTTAACATAACCTAATTTTATTATTATGTATAAAAATTAACCCATCCTCTAATTGCATTGTACAGTACATATTTTGACTTCCTTATTTTAAAAATTGTACAGACTTAGGGCTCGTACACAAAACTGCGATGCGATGCGAATTACTGCGATGCGATTTCGTCAAGGCGACAGTCCCAAGGTGCCCTAAAGAAGTGTGCACTTCTGTTATTGCTTAGTAGATACAGAAAAAAGAAACAAAGAAGATTTTGGGAAGATAAGAGTTTGATGCGCGATGCGAAACAATTCGCAAGTTCTTGCGATGCGATTCGCAGTTTTGTGTACGAGCCTTAACAGACTCACTTTGTACTTATTTATTTTCCTGGTAACATTGCCCATACTGTAGTCACATTCTGATATAATTATTAATGCCACAAGTCTTGAAAAAAAATCTAGAATTTCATAGAATGTAAATAATAATAATTGCATTTAATTATTATTGAACTTGTGGCATTGATTCCAAGTACATACGATTACCATTTTGGTTTCTTTAAGTTTCAACTACCAAAAAGTCAATGAGAAACGTAGTTTATATACACAAATACAGCATCAATTTACTTTAACGTAAACTTTAAAGTCCAAGCTACTTTCGAGCGCACAGTCGCCTTATCGGGCAGTTGTATAGCGACCTTCCCGTTACTTATCTTCCACTGAAACAAATAAACAATTGATAAGAGAAGAACTCATTAAATTCTCATTACGGTAACTCCTTACTAAGTACAAAATGCATTTTTGGATACCTCAAAATACGTATAATCAAATATGACTGATTCCTGGCTGGGGCGAAGTTAATTAGTTAATGGGCCTTTGTCTATCGAAATTTTCAGTATATTCACGTGAGTAACCCGTGATTTTAGTAGTAGTTCCGGTGATTAGCGCGTTCAAACAAACAAACCTTAAGCTTTATATGATAAAGAAATAGCATAAGATAAACACTTACAGCCAAGTACACTCCTTTGTTGCCCAACAACTCCACTTGATATGTCCCTCTGTGCAAATAACTTGTAATATCGCCAAGAGTTAGCCAATTGTCCTTAGGCCATTCAAGCGCGATAGCATAGATTGCAAGGATTTTATCATTAGCACTAGGCGGATAAGTGGGGTGAGTAGCATTATAATTTTCTTTGGTACAAGTGTACCATACTTTGCCATTCACCGTGTCGTTTTGGGAGAACCATGGTGAGCTGTCATATATCGCTTCTCCGTTGATGGCCAGCCACTTTCCAAGGAATAAGAGTCGTTCTTGAAATACTGGTATTATTGTCCCTTCCTTAGTGGGACCCACATTGATAAGAGCGTTACCTGTAAAGAAAATACATTTGTTGCATATTTTTCAAGTGAGTACTTTCAACACAAGTTCAAGTTACCTATTAGTACAAATGAGCCAGGTTGAGCAGCCATGTATTTCACAGAAAACGGTTCTTGTCTTGCGTTATGTTTCGCTATGTGAGTCAGGTTACTAGATTGAGTGTGGGAGAGCCATGCTTCGGCACGAATGGGCCGGCTCGACCGGAGTGATACAACGCTTATATATGCAACGCTTGCGTTGTGTTTCGTCGTGTGAGTAAGATTACAGGAGCCCCAATTACCCTCCCCTTCCCCAATCCCTGAATCAACAACCATCCTTAAACTCCTAATCTGCAAAAAGCCGGTAACACACTTGTACCGCCTCTGGTGTTCATTGGCGACGCCGATTGCTTACTATCAGGTGATCCGTATGCTCGTTTACCGGCTTATGCCATAAAAAAAGGGGCCGAATCCCTTATCTCATAAGGCTTAAATTTTGCACTTGTTATTCTTCTGGTGTTACGCGTCTTTATGGGCGGCGCCGATTGCTTACCATCGGGTGATCCGTCTACTTGTTTGCTTTCTTATCCCCTAAGAAAGCATAAAGTTATTGTGATAAAGGTTACCTCCACAACTGACTGTTGATACCACTTGGAACAGAAGCTGTGAATCTGTCATTATTTCACCGATTTTCATATTTCTTCTGTATCCCCACGATACTTTATCAACTGTAAAAGCGTTTTCCCATTTATGGTCGAGTAGTTTACCTAAAAAAGACAAAATTTAGTTAAAGATGTGTTTGACTATGTTTCTTTAACCAGACATTGTGGAACCAAACCCTAAAATATTACAATAACTATGCAGTTTAATAAATAATAAATGTTAAACAAAAATAATGTAGTTCCATACCAAAATTTTGTGTACAAAATTAGACACCTTATAAAAATAAAAACATCTTTTGTACAAAATCACTAACCAGGATTGAATCGATCAGCATGATTAAAGAAGTCTCCATGGTGTCCAGGGATATCTTTACCCCATCTATCATTCACAACAACTTCTTCTCTAACTGGACTATTGTTGTACAGCCAAGCCAGAAAGTCTGTGGATCTCCAGTAATCATCAGGAGCTTCCCAATCACCATCAGACCAAATCACTGATGGTTTATAATCATGGATAATTTGTTTTAAATCTGGCCACAACTTTGTGTCTACAAATGTGTGCGTCTCAAATGATGCATTTCTATCCTGCAGGTAGATTGGGTTGAACCATTCATACAAAGAATGATATACACCAAACTTTAGACCCCTCTTTCTTACAGCAGCCGATAGCTCGCCCACCAAGTCTCGTTTTGGCCCGACATCAACTGCATTCCAACTGAATGAACGCTTTGATGGGAACAAGGTGAAACCTTCATGATGTTTGCTAGTTAAGACAAGGTACCTGGAAATGACAAATACAAAATGTTTTTAGAATACTTAATTACTTAAGTTCTATGCATATTGAAAATTTTATGTTCATTGAAAAAAAAAAATTTACTTCGCTCCAGCTTCCGCAAATAGTTGTGCCCATGCTGCAGGGTCGAAAAATTCTGCCGTAAACATTGGAGCAAATTGCTGATAGGTAAAATTTGGTGGATAATTTTTATCCATGAAGTCAACGTATTTTGTCACATCTAGAAAATAAATAAAAAATACATAAATTAATTTAATATCAACACTTATGTAGAAAAATATCTGTTATTTTTGTTTAATAATAAATAGATCTACGTACTAGTTTTCCAGTTCATCCAAAACCATTCCGACCCGAAACTAGGTACGGCATACACCCCCCAATGGAGGAATATGCCTATCTTAGCTCTATCATACCACTCGGGTAGCGGCCGTTTATCTAAATCCCTCCAATTCGGTCGATATCCCTTTCCATCATTGAAATCCTTAGCCAGAACATTATTTTCCGATTTGATTACACTAATTTCTCGTATCTTAGCATATGCTAAGCAGATTAGTATTGAAAATATTAGCAGTCTCATAATTCTGTAAGAAACACAAAAATATTGTGATTTTCAGCCTAATAAAAACAATACAATAATAAAATAGCCGGTCGGCTTGACAATAAATAAATAAGATGTCAGTGACCTGACATGTCAAATTGAGTACGAGTCTGTTATCTATGATTATGACCTAGACGATTTTTTTTTGCTTTTCGATGTCCCTAAAATATTTTTGAATGCAAAATTTAGCTCCCGAATAATGCTTTCTTCTTCGTATTTGTAAGTTACATAAATATTTTTATTTGTAATATTATTATTATTTGTACAATAGTACATCAAACCAAAGCCGTAAAGTAAGTAAGGCGTTATTATTTTAGAATTGTTTAAAAAGAAAATAAGTACCTAATAAAGGATTTACTAGGCTAGGTAATGGTGCGTTCACACCTGGTGAATATGTCGCTAACTTGTGAACTGCGCTGATGCGCTGCGAACTTTAAATTACTGAAGACTGAAAAGTTGTTTGTTTCTTTAATCGATTGCCAGAACTAGGCACCGGTTCGAATTTGCTATCGATATCGTAAGATATAGAAAACAAAATTCCAAGTGTGGCACATTTTTAAAATATACTTATATAGCCTACGATATTTTAATAAGTTACGGTTACTTGTATAACCATTTTGTATAATATCTGCCTTCCCTTCTCCACCTAGAAAATAGGATCTACTACGTCGTAGGTACCTAAGATCATTTTCTTTAGTTAAACAAATATATCAATAGATCTTGAAAAAACATACCTTATGTAATCTGCAAGCAACGGCCAATATTTTCAAGTTATTATTATCTAGGTAACTAACATTAAATGCGACTTTATTTAAAAAGCTAATTTTGTAATATTTTCCTTTAGTTATCTCGACACTGGTTCACTATGTGGCGGTTAAATGAACACTGAGTATTAATAGTGTTCGTAGACTACAATATATAATAATAATGTGTTTGTAATCGTGGTCGGTCACTGTAAACAGTTTATCGTTCATTTGTGTGTCATTAAGTAACTAGTTTTACAATGGATAGCTACGCTGTGGTTCCGAGGACGGGGACTACCTGAACAGTTTCATCATGAAACTTTAAACTTTCAGATAAAAAGGTAGTTACCCGATTATGAGAAGAAGCGTTTTCGCAATGTAGCACCTACAGCCACGGCTATTTATTTTTTTCATATACCTATTTATAAAAATACTCCGGTACAATAATGTTAAAAAATAAATGTTAAGCAAATGTAATTTTTAATAAGCTAGTGACACCCCTAAAATTTGCAACGCCTGAAAAAGGCCGTTAAGCTGTGCCTGTTGTTTCATAAGACCTGTACCTATGTATTACCTTAATATGCAAATAAAGACTTTGAATTGAGTTTAACAAAAAAAAAAAAATTAATCATATTTAAAAATAGGTATAAAAAATTCATGCTTCGTTGGTCGACTGGTCGCAAGTGCGATTGCCGTGCAAGGGGTCTCGGATTCCCGGGTCGGGCAAAGGAAAACTGGGATTTTTAAAAATCCTCAGTAGTAGCACAGAGTCTGGATTTGTGCCCGGTATATAGCAATAGGCTCACCTTCTATTACATGGGACTCATAACATTTTTTTTTTTTTTTTTTTTTTAAGGGGGGAAAATCATCGAATGACTGCTCCCGCCTGGGTGAGGCGGAAGGGAGTGTCAGACTCTTACTGACTAAAAACCACCCCGTTCCTTCTCCTGCACGTCGAGCCGGAGCCCCGGTTACCCGTTAGGTTCTCCGCGACAGGGACTCATAACATAAATAGTGAAAAGTTACATTGTACAGTGGCATTAAAGTGCCGTAATGTGAACCTCTACCTACCCCTTCGGGGATAAAAGGCGTGATGTTATGTATAAAAAATAGGTGCTGACCAGTAGCAGGAGCATCCAAGCTACCGGTGGTTAGGGCTCCATACGTGCCGATTCTTGGAGAACTGCCTTCTGAATCAGGCCCTTGATCCATCTGCCTAAGGCCAGCCTCCTAAGATGGATGTCGAAGCTTTTAGGGATTAACCGATTGGCCGACACGACTATCGGCACAATGATAGCCGGATCCACATGACGACAACATCGAAAGCTAAGTCTAGATATTGTATTTGTTTATCTTTCTCAGCTTTTACGAAGTTCTTGTTATGGGGAATGGTGACATCGACATCATCGTGCGTCGCACTTGTCGGTGTATCACCACTATGATAAGTTTATTGGTTACAATAGTCCTGACAGTGATGATAGATTAACTAGGAAACATATTTATATAAAATTTTACTCTACACTACGATTACCCCACGTGTCGTGGGAGTTTATGCAAAAATATACAAATCGGAACATACATACATCAAACAAAGAGTTGTTCCGCGCAGGAATTGAACCTGCGACATTTTACGCAGCAGCCGGTTGCCCAGCTACTCCGCCACACCTACACAGCTACACAACTACAAGTCATGTGTGTGCTTTGTAACATTTAGCCAAAGAATATTCTAAGAGAGCAGGGCATTTTCTAACCAAGTTTCTATTACGTTCTTTAAGAAACAGTGATAGTAAATAAAACAAAATATTTGAATTTTGCATAAAATTCTAATTCTATTTACATTTAAAACTTATATACAAATATTTCGTTGAGATCAAAATTTCAATACTGATTGCAGTAATAAGTAAACAATAGAATAGTACCTAGGTCATGAAACTACATGAGAAATAATAGCAGTATTCAGGTTTGACTAGGTAGACTAGAAAGGTCAATTTTAGACCTAATGGTGCGTCCAGATCTGGTGAATGCGCCGCTGCCGAGTCGTGAGCAAGTTGCAAACTGCATGCGCCTTCGCAAAGTGTGGACGCACCATAAGTATTATTTTACAATCTAAGTGTAATATTTATGTTATTTACAATTAATACTATGTTTCATAAACATATAATACTTGATTTAGCATATAAAAAGACAGTTCAATTTCATATCCAATCACTGATATGTATAAAATCGAAGCAATTATAATTATGTTGCATGTGTTGCTAAATGCAAAAATTAATAAAAATGTACATACAAGAACAGACTACTACAAAAGGAAAAATTCAACTTTAAAGTACAAACAAATATTTGATAAAGTGATTTGTTCTTCTACAGCAAACAATGATATATTACTCCTTTGTTTGTGATTTATTAAAATCTAATTTCCAAGTAAACTTTTCATGAGATCCTTAAATAATTATGTACTTAGTAATTAAGTACGTAAAAATAATACTTAGTTATCAAAAACACAATTGATAATAATGATTGTTTTGTTAATATTTAAAACTAGTACTAGTATAGTATTTATTAACAGTCTAAACACTGCATTGGTCACCAAAGACTGACAATAATTAGCATAGGATATGCATTCAACGGTCTGTTTGCAGTTTGACTTAATTATTTATATTGTATCCTTCATTTTTATCCACCTCCTCAACGGGAAGTGGATGACATTGCTATTGAGTATCAACTTTAAAGGTTGGGTAGTGACATGTTCCATTTATAATAATTTCACTGATTCCCGTGGTGGGTGGTGTGTGCGATGCTGAGAGAGGCTCAATATGTGCAGCAGTGGTCATAACTGGAGTGGAATATAACTTGCTACTATGTATTGTAGTCTGATGAGGCTGCGTAGTATTCGTAAACACAGTACATATTGGTTGTTCAGTACGTGGTTCACCGATCATTCCCATTTTCACTTCAAATATAACATCCTGGATCTTTTTCTTCGCAACCAGTAGGTTCTTCTCCCCTTTAAGAGACCTCAGCTCGTTGGCAATATATTCTCCAAATACAGAGAATTCGTCTCTCGTCCTTGAGGGGTAGACTATATCAGGTCGAACTGCAGGTGTATGTGACTCTGTTCTTGAGATCTTGTGTGGCGGAGATAGGTTGGATAGCTTACACTCAGTGCTTGCATTGTCTGAATGTGGGGATAACACACCTATTTCAGTGTTGTTGTCCTCCTGAAATGATACAAAAATATATTATATAGGTAGTATATACACTGGCACATTATCAACCCTTAAACTGCAGGTTTAAAGATTGGTGAAAGTTTGTTCTTTCTTACTGTTCAAATAAATTGTCATTAAAAATTAATAAGTTACTAACGAGAACCTTTGTCTGAGAGTGCTAAGTTCATCCGGATTTAATGTTCATTAAACTATGTACTATGATTAATTTGTAGGATATTAATTACTATTTCACACAGTGATACTGACCGACAGTAGGATCTTGTACGGCTTCCTGGAGTCTTTCAAGAAGTGTAGATATTCGAAGGCGTACCAGTTGCTGACATATCTATCATTAGGTTCTTCAGCAAACGCTCGCGCTTCCCGCGCCGACTCCCGGTTGTATTGTGTACGAAGATGTTGTATTTTCTTCGTAATGTCTAACACAGAAATTCCCAACAATTCTGATATCAATCGCAACTCCTCTCGTCGCTTTTGTTTGTCCCTTCGCGTTTCACATAAAGATGGATTCCACAAGCTCGCATTCACTTGTAACAACTCAATCAACTTTAATGTTTTATCTTTCGACCACTCCATCGCCCGATTTGTATAAGTATGCCCGAATTATAACACAAAGACTAGACCGGGTTTGCGACCGATCGTTAGATAATTCGCTAAACTGTTCCCGATGGTCAGACGCGATCCGCGCTTTTCAAGTTTTCAACAAAACAAAACAAACGTCAATACTTACGTCAAAATATGCACAATCTGTAGCATGAAGGGAATGTTTGACATTTTGAGCATGGCTGTTGGTATACCTGTCTCTTTTACACTTCAGTCGTCACATCACCCTATCCTTATCTGACAAAAACAGCATAATAACAAAATATTTTTATTTTCACCTTGCTGTAGGACCGGTATTGTTATTTATTTGTGCTTTCATTGGGGAGATGGGGACATGATGTAGAGTAAAAGATATCATTAGATACCTTAAAAATATTTTTTATTGTGCAGAATTGTTGAATTTTACTTTATGGTAGTTTAGTAGGTAGTATTTTATTATTTTACATATCGATTGCCGCACAAGTGATTGCTGGTTCGATTCTCGGATAGCACAGGCACGGATCTGAAATTGTGTCTGGTGTATTTCTGTATGTGGTGTATTTCGACTCGTTCTTTATTAGGTAACTTGCCATGCAAGAGACATTACGGATTTCTAATTCGATATTTGGGTCAGACTACTCTGACTTGTTATTGAGATACCTTAATAATATTATGTACCTATGTACGATTGTGTGTAGATAGGTATTATATTTATTTTCGAGAAATTCTCAGTCACAGCCTAGTCTTCTGTTGAAAAGAAGGTTAGGTAATCTAGAAAATAAAAGATAACATCTAATTCATTCTCATTTATTTACAGGCTATTTTATGTGAAAGACTATCACATTATAAAAACAGGTTTTCTAAAATTATATTTACAATATTTACAAATACCACTTCCACATACAAATGCATTAATTAAAATATACATTAACTCAAATAGGAGACTACATCCATCTTTTCACGACAATAATAATAATAATATTTAAATTATTAAAGGAACCAAAATAACAATAAAAGGAACTCCTCATACGGAATCGTGTGGTCTTAAATTATTTATATAACTTAATAGCACAGAACCATAAACAAATGTATGGAAAAAACATTTTTTTTTTCAAAGTTCGTTCTAATACTATGTATAACAAATGAAAGTAGAGTAAACCAAGTTATTTGGTACACAGACAAGAAAATAAAGAGTAAATAAGTATGATTCCAGCAGCTATATTCAATTCAAAAGCCAAATCTTTTGTAACCATTCATCGGCTCACCAGTCAAAAATGGTTACTGTCTTTACACTGAATCCATTTATTATTGGGGCCTGCATGCCAAATAACTTGCTGACTGTACGTTATTTATTATTTACAAACATTTAGAAAAATATATTCTGTTTAATTGCAACACTGACTGCTTCGTACCAAAGTTACCAGGCTTAAAATTGATAAATCAATGTTGCTAGTAATATAAAAGGAGGCAGAAAAATTTCATTAAATTCAATAGTTATTGCTTTTAAGTATTTGTTAGAGAATCGTTAAAATATCTAAGGATTTATTTGACGACATAAAATCATGAATGGGAAATTATTCAACATTAAATTAAGTTCACATAAATAACAACAACAATAAAAAACAAAAAGGGAATATTTTACACAGAGAGGGATAAATTAATATAAATGTTTAGTATGGTGTTATGTCACATAGATACACCATACTTTTACATGCTGTTCTCACCGAGATTCAATTAAAATTATAAATACAAACAAACAGTATCTACCTATGTAGGAAGTTATAGAGCTAAGTTTGCCAAAACTTAGTAATCAGGCAAACCTCTTATTGATTAATGGAAGGGATACAGAACTAGTGGTTTTAAATAATAGATTCAAGTTAACATCTAGATTCAAGGAGGTATACACCCAGTCATCAATAAATTCAACATTATTATAAAATATAGAAGTCTCTATTTTCAACAATTGACAACAATTTTGTCTATTTATTGTAAAATCTGGTGGTTCGTTTTTTCATCTAAGTTCTTCTGTTTCAAAAGTCACAGGGACATCGCCAACGAGTGTTAACGTTATGCCTGTAGCTTTTTAGGAGACAATCAATCCGTTCACAAAATCCCGGATATCCCGCTTTACAAAAGTTAGCACTACGTTAGTGTAGTTTACATTAGGCCTACCAGGACAGTGCACTTCACTTCACTCCATCACTTGACTTAACATCCGTAGTAACTAAATAAATACTAGCTACCTATAACTGTATCTACAAGTCCACAAGGTCCACAATGCAACGTTTACGTGACATCGAGCGGCCGTTGTTCGCGAGACCTAAAGAATCCCTTTTCAGTGCGGCACTCGCGTATCGTGACTGTTTGTAGGTTGACGGTGACGTCGGTGATAAAAATCTGATCGGCAACAGGGGACCGCGCCATCCAGTAGGCGGCGCCACGTCGGGGCGCCACGGGCGCTGGCGCCGGTGCCGGCACCGCGACAGGTGCGTCCCCCCACGAGTCCTCCTCCTCCTCGGGCTGCGGCTCGGCTGGTGGAGGTGGTTGTGCACCTTTGGGTTCCGCCGGGGCAGTGGCTGTCGGTTGTGTTTCCGTGCGTCTTTCGCGTTCCGGAGGAGTGTGAGCATCAGCTTCTTCTGGGGAATGTGGTGCTCGTCTGGGACCTGTTCTAGGTGCAGCAGCTTCAGCAGCAGGCGAGGCGGGCGCTGCAGCTCCACCAGGTGGCGCGGCGGGCGGGGGAGGCTGCACGGCGTGCGCGGTGTGCGCGGAGTGCGTGGTGTGCGTGGTGTGCGTGCTGTGGGAAGTGCGGCTGCCGTTCAGCTTCGTAGAGTCGTGCCGCTTGGCAGCCGGCGGACTCATGGTGATGGTGACGCCGATCTTGCCAGACTCGCGCGACAGCACCTCGGCCTTGCGCTTGCCGGGCGGCGGGTGGCACTCCTCGGAGCCGCTGCGCGCGCGCTCGGCGGGCGAGTGCTCGCGCTCGCGCCGCCTGCCCTGGCGGCGATGCTCCTCGCCGCGCTCGAAGCTCTGTATGAGCCGTGGGTCCAGGATATTCTCCTCCGGCTCCCAAGTGTTGTGCTTCGGTTTCCACCCTTTCCATTTCACGTAATACTCGACTTTGTTCTGAAAACAGAGAAATTTTCCGTTATAAAGTTGTATGCATTTTGCAGAGCGCAGTGAGTGGCGGTGTGTGCCCGCTCGCTGACGTGGCGCGACTGCCGGTGGCGTGCGACCGAGGGAGGGTTGCACATAGCCTTGCAGATTTTATTCGATGATAATATTACGGCAAACACGTACCTATATTAAGGTGCAAGATCGTTGGCTTGGGGCAGGAAAGAGTTATTGAAGTTTGATAACGATAGGCGAATATTTAGGTACCTAAGTATGTAAGACGTTGTTTTGACAGTGAAGCTGTATAGATACTGAAAGGGTTACGTTTAGAAGGAGGCGTGCGAAGTTGTGCGAGTATCGGTTGCAGTCCGCAGTACATTTGGGGCGCACCTGCCGCCGGCCAGCTGTCGCTAGCTGCGTGCCCGTTGCCCGCACATGCGGCCCTCACATACATTGGTACCTACATCATTACATGCTACATGCCTAACGTGACCATTTATTTTCTGTGCCAAAGCGGGAGAACTGAGGAATAGTTCTAAAAAAAACCTCCGGAATTATAAAATAAAACAAAGTTTTGGGAGTTTTACAAGTTTATAGAAGATTGAATAACACAAATCAAACACTAAACACAAAAAAGTTAAGAAGTGGGGTGACTTCTAAGTCGTATTTTTGTATTTGTCGCACTGTGTCGCCCGCACAGTTGATACGTTTAAAAACGATAGATGCATAAACGATAGATCTTAAAGCTAAAGGGGGACATTTTTGCTCTTGCGGGGGACAGCGGGACAGACAGTCTGAAAGCGGGACAGTCCCGCCCAAAGCGGGACGTATGGTCTTTATACATGCCACACACTTGCTACTACCCTCCACCAGTCATCCAACATGCCTGCGGAATTTGTTGACAAGCGGTATTACATGCAGCAAGGAAGCCGTCAGTTACGCACTGACAGTATTTATCTAAGGTTATCATGCGACAGTAACTATTAGGTACTACAATGTCTAACTGGAAGCAAAGACTTGTGAGTATTGGTATCTAAGCCCTAATATCGTTCGAAGTCGCGGAGAACCTAACGGGTAACCGGGGCTCCGGCTCGACGTGCAGGAGAAGGAACGGGGTGGTTTTTAGTCAGTAAGAGTCTGACACTCCCTCCCGCCTCACCCAGGCGGGAGCAGTCATTCGATGATTTTCCCCCCTTAAAAAAAAAGCCCTAATATCGTCTTGGATTTTCCAAGATAGGTAGTTATTCCATTGAAATGACGGCTGTGAAATGAGATTAATTTGTCAATTGTTATGTATTTGGGTATTTTTTTTGGTATGCACCTCGTTAGTGAAGTGTTTGTACCTACCTAAGTACGACTGTTGATCACGAACCTCTCGGTTACATCATATTTTTTTAAGAATTGTAGTTGATTAGAATTAGTATCTAATAACTTACCTAGTCGAAACTAAGTCTATCAAAACTCTCAATCAAAATCGAATGTGAGTTACGTCAAAAGTTTTGATAATCAACAAAAACATCTGTTGAGTCGTAACACGACTGCTAACAGTCCCCAATGTGAAACACCATATTTTATTACCAACCTTTCACCTTAGCCACTTAATTAGATTAAACATTAACAACTTGAAACATACCTAAGGTCTATACATTTAGAGTCTTATATCCTTTGCGGCATTCGGCGTTTAGGGCGTTTCGACATTAAAGCGGGGATTTCAGACCCTCGCGTCTTATTGGTTTTGCAGACGGAGGGTGAGTGGAAATTGTACAACGCGCGCTGACTTTGCAGCGGCGTTCTGTTTGAATTTAAAAATGTTGAATATTTTACTTTAGTTTTATATTTTTCGTGAATGTTTCAGATTGAGAGTAGATAAATGTTGCTAGGTAACAGAAGGTAAACCTCATAATTAATTTCCTAAGTATTTGACCGTAACAAATTAGGAAATATTAACATTTCAAGTCATTTATGCGTACTTCGTCGTGCGAATGTCGTGGTGGCCCGGAGGTTTAAGACGCCCACTTCTCATGCATGAGGGTGCGGGTTCGAAACCTACCAACGGCAAGTACCAATGTGACTTTTTCCGAGTTATATGTACTTTCTAAGATTATTTAGACACCACTGACAAACGGTGAAGGAAAAACATCGTGAGGAAACCTGGACTTATAATTTCTAATTATAAGTTTGAAATCGCCAACCCGCATTGAGCAAGCGTGGTGATTAATGCTCTAACCTTCTCCGTGTGAGAAGAGGCTTTGCTCAGCAGTGGGCATTTATATAGGCTGTTGATGACATGATGATGATGCGTACTTCATCGTTTGTGCCACCTTTGAGATAAATTAGGTAGCTATCCGAATTTATCTTAAACCAGTAGACAAAAAACTTGACTAAACTTCGAATCCACAAAAAGAAAATCTTGGCTCTATTGAAAAAACCAACCTTTAACATTATAATTCAAAGTACCTACAAAGACAAACAAAAGCCTCCATTGTATTTAATAATCATTATAAATAGGTAGGTAGGTAGCTCAGCAGTCAATTTAAACTTACAACTACAAAGTCAGAAACCAAACAAAGACATAATCGTTAAAAAAATAAATAAAAAAGGATCCGTTGGGACGTGTGGGCAAGGTGAGGTCGTTCGGTTGGCGCGTGGTGATTGGCCGACGCGCGGGGCGGGCGGGGCGAAGGGAGAGGCACCTCACCCCCGCTTCGTCTCACTCCACCCCCGCGCGCCCGTGTCGACCTACAACTTTACCTATATCGGTAACATAGCCCTTATTTACTGCACTTAAGGTTCATTTTCGCGTGTGTAAAGGTAAATGGTAGATGGTAAATTTGATGGTAGTAATCGCGCCATGGGCGGATCGTGTCTCGGAAGCAGAGACGCCAATTAGCGTTGATCGGAAGCCGTGTGGCAATTAACGCGAATAATTAACGATAATCCCCTATCAACTGCGGTGATGTGTTGATAGGATCACCGATGTTGATAACCGGTGTTGATTGACTTAATACGTTTGGCTTCCTACTGATACTTTCAATATAGATATGTATCTATTATGACAATAGTGAATATCTACCTAATGTCTTCATTGTTGTTTAATTCCTCATTTTGAAGCACATACTTCGATATAGGAGAATCACCTAATCCATTTACAAAAAATGGATTCTTTGGTAATCAAATCTACAGCATATTACCTAAACTGGCCTCAAGAATCGTTTTTTTCTTGTATTTAATGGGCCGACGTTTGACCACTATCTCGCCTGGTGGTAAGCGATGATGCGGTCTACCATGGAGCACGTCGTCTCATAAGCAACCTATACACTCGGGTCTTGACCATACCCTTCAGGAAATACAGATTCTGGCAAAGAATTCCACTCCTTAGCAGTACGCTAAAGAAAGACTGATGCGAAACGCTTCGTGTGGGTTCTGTTTTTCTGGAAAGGCTAGAAATACAGTAATTTTCTGGCTTTCCTAGTCATCTACCAAAGTACCTATAACATCTTACAATACCAAATCTTAATATGACGTAATCAATAGTCAAAATTTTTCATATATATTGTCATTTTGGGATAGAAATCGTCAAATTTTAAGCTAACAAATGACAAGCCTTTCAAATAAAACAAGAATTTTTGAAATCGATCCAGGCGTCTTCGAAAAATCGAGTATCTAACAGACGAAAAAATACAGTCGAATTGAGAACCTCCTCCTGTTTTGGAGATCGGATGAAAATCGTCACATTTTGGGCTAAACATTGTCACAATTTGAAACCAACAATCGTCAATTTGGTAGTCAAAAATCATAATTTGCTAAGTAGACTTTCATTTATTCAGATATAACTTTCAAGTTTATCTGATATTCAAACCACCATTACCCAAATTGAAGAATCTAAACTAACCAGTGCCTCTAGCCAAATGCCACTTTAGCGCTTGTCTACAGAGAGAGTAGAAAACTAAATGTATGGGGATGACACTAATAAGTGTCAAAATTTACGTCAATTCCATATAATTTGGTTTTCTATTATATATGTAGACAAGCGCTAAACGGCATTTGGCTACAGCTGCTGGAATTCCATAAAATTAGGTACTTTATTAAATAACTAGTTATTTAGCAGCCCGTTCCGGCTTCGCACGGGGTTTATTACATATTATACAATTATTTATTTTTGGAAATTTGGATTGTTGTAGTGACATAACTACAATAGTTGGACATATGCTACCGCGGAGTTTTTTGTAGACATTATCATAACATCATAAGATGTTGTTCAATATTGTTGTACATTATTTTGTTCTATCAATAATAGTTTCGGCAACGCATTCGACTAAAGTCATTTTAAGACTCATTTTTCTACACATTGTTCAAATTTTACCAAGGATCCCTAATATTTTTCAAAATGAAATGTACCCTATGTCAAATTGGAAAATGTAACATTCTATTGGTGAAAGAATTTTTTAAATCGGCCCAGTACTTTTTGAGCCTATTCATTACAAACATACAAAAATAGGTACAAATCTTAGTATAGATTAACCCATACGATCATCATTTAACCTTAACAAGTCTTTATGAAATGTTTAAATGATTTATGCCCTTGTTGCAATCACTGCTGTATGAGAATATGCGGGCACATAATTTTGTGTCCACGTCTAATTTATGCAGTTAACCGCTTTTTATTTATTACTCACTGGCTTTTAAAACCATGACAAACAGTGTACCAAAACTTTCGTTAGGAATTCTTTCCTTACGAGTACGCGTTCGGCGGCCTGATTGGTTGGTTTATTGGCGCCGGCCAATATTTTTTTATTTTTAATATCCGTCTGGTAGATCTTTTTAAATCATTACACACGTATTTGATATTTTCTTACGGAAACGAATAGTTTCGAAGATATATTGATTTGAAAATTCGCATGACGTCACTTTTGAGTACGATTTATCTCAAAATGACGTAGCTGTAGTTACCTCCCACTCGTAAACTTTGATTCGTTTTATGTAAGTATTGTTTTCTTATAGGACAAAATAAA